CTATCTATCTATCTATCTATCTATCTATCTATCTATCTATCTATCTATCTATCTATCTATCTATCATCGCAACCTAATAATATATAGTACAACAAAGAATATTTGAATCATCTTATGAAATATATCTGTATGTTCTGAAACTATAATAGTAACATAATATTAACAGTACAATTATAATAACAACAACAATAATAGTAACAATAACATAATAATAACAGTAACTACAATAATAATAGTAATAATAACTTCTTCTTCTTCGATGGTGCTACAGCCTAGGTCGAGCACGGGCCTCGCCAAAATCGCCCCCTATTTTCTCTGCTTTCCGCAGCTTTTCGCCATATTCTTATCCCCAACTGTTCCCTTGCATCTTGGATGACGACATCCAGCCATCTCTTCCTAGGTCTTCCAATCCGTCTACCCCCAAACAAACCCTCTCTTGCATTGCTTTCTTTGGTATTTTCGTAGAAACATGATAATAGTAACAAGAATAATAGAAATAGCTTAATAACAATAATTTTCATCTCTGTAATTGAGGCATCTTCAGCGTTGCTTTCAGAGCCGGCGCTAGGCACGGGCAGACCAGGCGACCGCCCGGGGTCCTGCAAGTCAAGGAGCCCAATGATGGCACTAATGGGAAAACAATAAGTATAAAAATTAAAAAAAAAAAGAGATTAGAACTTGAGAATATAGTTATAATACTTTTATAAATCGCGATATAGTAGTGTAATATTTCATAAATTTTTCAATTATTAAATTAAATATTTTATTATAGTCATTACTTGTAAAGTAGGACTCTATGAAATTAATTAAATGACGCCAACATTAAAATAGGTTCTACTTAAATTCATATTTATTATTTCATGTATTTAACGAGTGATTTTATTAAACACTAACTAAACACAACCAAATTTTTAGGGTTTTAAGATAACCGTGCCAATTGTATTATTTCACCAATAAAAACATCACATCTTTAATTTTCACACATTTTTATTCGGGGGGGGGGGGCTATCTTTCAGCATTGTCCCGGGCCCAATTTGTCTAGCTCCGTCATTGGTTTCATTCACGCTCCAAAGACAATGTTGACATTGGTCGCCCCGCTGCAGTCGGGCGAACATTTACGCAAATTAAATAAAACAATACGTTTTGTCTTCGCGTGGATAATTCAGAGCGTTGTTTGGTCTTCTGCAGCTCTTCGTCGCTGCACGGCAATTAAGTTATTTACTGGTAAATGAGTTACTTTTCAAAGTTACAGTCAGATCCTTTTTGCGTGATTGATTCATTGATTAAATGATGTTTCCGAGCACCTCAACGACTATGGCCATTAATATTTCAGTGCAATGAATGTTATTGAAATGAATATTATTATTATAATTATTATTATAATTATTATTATATTATTATTATTATTATTATTATTATTATTATTATTATCATTATCATTATTATTGTAAAGTTTCATCGAAAAGAAGGTAGAAGCCGAAGGACTGTGCTTCGTCTTGTTTAAGAGAAAATTAAGAATTTGTAACACTTTTAACATTGTATCATATGTAGACGCAACTGCTTGGAGAATTGACAATAAACTATGGAGGATGTTTTGAAGGTGAATTTGGGTTTTAATTAAAGTCTTGTAAGGTTGCCCCAAATAACAAGAACAAGGGTCATGGACATGTCATTTAAATGTTAAGCAAAACTCATAATAATTGTGATCTTGATCGCCTACTTCGCTCACTTTTCTCTGCAAATTATGCGACACCTGTACTTGAATTGTAAGATAAACATGTAATCACCATGTTCATAAAGTTAAGTCTTGACAGATTGATCATCCATTTGCATACGCAACCGGAATTAGTTATGCCTCTATTAGGTCCCAAGCCACAACCACGGTGATAAATCGAAAGGTGGCGGCAGTCTCAGAGTACGACTTCGTAATAGAATGTTTTATTGGCATTACCCGTAAAGTCGAAGGAAGTTTGGAAGTCTGCGTGTAATAAAAAAAACTTTATTACACATCTGCCGTTGCTACATCTACAACGAATGTCGAGAAAAGAGATCATATACATTTTATATAAATACGAAAATCAATCATGGTAAGAATTATTAGAGATTATTCAGATCGCTCTTATGTCCATAAATTTAATCCCTGCGTATATATCCCGCCAGGAGGAGGAAGAAGAAGAAGAAGAATGTTACCTTGTTAATTGAAATGCTTAGAATTGCAAAGCTGTGCCAAATGCCATTGGACGAACTATGGTCTGTGCACGTACAAGCAATCGGTTGTGAGAACAGTTTTTGATTTTATGCAATAGTTTGGGGAAAATGAAACGTGATTTGTATTTATGGAAAAGATAATACCTAAATTAAGTTATGAGTGAAAGATGGAGGAAATCTTTCCAGAGCAATTAATGTAACGATCTTGTTATGAGGGAGATTTAGCACATCTGCAACGTCTCAACCTTTTCCTCTAGAAATCAAGGGACTTTAGGATCTCATAACACCAAAGTCCAAAATGAGTTTTAGAGCGCTGTGACAAACCCTTCGCACTATAACAAAATAAAGTTAAACGGAAAAATAGTACGTTACAGATCATTACGGATTCAATTTAGCTGTGCCCACTCGCGATTCACATATGTGATGTTCCTTCAAGTTGTTTCATAATGGATGTGTGTTCAGAATTTATCGATGCTTGAGGCGTCAAAAACAGTTCTCAGTGATTCGGTTAGCGCGCTCGCTTTCCTCAGCGCAACCCTCTGTTCGATTCCCGGCCGGGGCAAAATTATAACTGTACACACACTTCCTTACAAAATGTTCCAATATCTATTGAGAAAGCCCATCCTAGGTTTATGAAGGCCAGTATATACCATGGAGGGATGTCTTCGTGCTATCCACACGAACCCCTTATCCCAAGGCCGAGAGGCTGGGCCACCGCTGGTCCCTATCGGGCCGAGCCGAAGGACAGTGACGTCAAATACGCGCTTTCTAGTTCAAAAGTGGCAGTTGAGAGCACCATTAACAAATCTCAGGAGACATCTCCAATCTTATGATCTCACGTATACGATTCAAAAAATATCAATTTAACGTACAATCATGAGATTCATATTATTAATTAGATCGCTTGTGATGTAGATACCTTCCGTATTATTTGTTTTCGGCCCGGAAACTGCGAGCTCTGAGGATGATCGTTACGCGATAGAAACGATTATCAGCCAAATAAATTGTTGATATGAGACCACATCTTTTGTTTATCATTCTTAAATAAGATCCATATGTTTGAACCACTACATGCCTATCCATATTTTTCATTACCGCAAAATCTTACACGCTCACGCAGCGGCCTTGAAGACACGGCTTCCATTTTGAACAGATTGGTGTAAGGTTAACCTCACAGCTCTGGGCTATGGAGTGAAGCGTAAGGCCGTACCTTATGCGTAAGGATCGTCACTACAATTATAAAGTCCACCACGTGACTCGCAGTGCCAAGGCCAAGACGTTGCAAACGAGCTAAAACTGCCTGATGCGATCGTTTTTCGTGTCCGCGAGCGTACCCGTGCAGGCCGGCCGCCGTCAGCTGCTGCAGCAGGTCCTGCAGGTGCTCCTCATCGCCATCCTGCGTCTGCAGGCTGATGCCCGAGTCCTCCCCCGAGAAGAGGTCGTCGGCGTCGTCGTGGGCCTCCACGCCGTTGCTCCTCGCTCGAGAGTTGAGGAAGCGATCTGCAAGAGAGCGCAGTGCCATTGATTAGTGTTTGGGGGCGCGTCAACCTCGAAGGTCATTGGCCCCGTAATGTCCAGTCCCCAAGCCCCTGTCCCAGTCCCACAGTCCCCTATTTTTATTGCTAGAGGTGGCAGATATCTTTCCGAGCTGATTTGCGAGATACGGCACCGACCTACATGTCGCCTTGCAAGATTTTTCCCTAACCAGGTGTCTCCCACTAGCGGGGCACAGACTTATCCAGGACAAGTTTTAAGCTTACGACTCTCTGTCTCTGTCTCTCTCTCTCTCTCTCTCTCTCTCTCTCTCTCTCACGCACACACACTCACATACTCTCTCTCTCTCTCTCACACACACACACACTCTCTCTCACACACACACACTCACACTCACTCACTCACACACTCACACTCACTCACACCCACTCACTCACTCACTCACTCACTCACACACACTCACACACACTCACACACACACACACTCACACATACATACACACTCACGCGTGCGCGCGCACACACACACACACACTCGTGCGCTTTCTAAGCACACGTGTACGACGTTTTGCATAACCTTCACCACTGTCGTCGTTTTTGAGATTTTCCCCTACTCTACTTTAAAACATGTCTCAATGGTTTTTGAGGGAAATTAAACAGAAAGGGATTTAAAAAGTCTAAATTTGTCGCTTCCTACCATATTTCACGTGTTAAAGAGCTTAATCAATTTCAACCAAAAATACAATGTATCATGATATCGAATAATTGTAATGTTCTCGTAATGCTCTCCGAAACAAAAATTCGAGTTATGGAAATTTTCTTTTTTAGATACATTTGACTTTTTGGCGCATTATATTCAAGAAACCTGTAAGAAAATGATATGTCAAGGAATTCTACTAATAGCGGTTCTAACCTATAACTCAGTTATATTTCTGGAAGAAAACGTTATATGTAAAGTTTGTTGTCTTTGAATTTCAAATAAATCTTAAGTTATTATTTTTTAATTAAATTACCACAATATAAATACGGAAAAGTTTCCCTTTCATGAAAAAGAACAACCCCTTAACTGTCATATTCTTTCACTACGAGGTTGATTGAAGACCCTTTACTACTTTTGTTTAAAATTCTACAGTTACAAGTGCCAAAGTTATTTTTTTTTCAATTGGCAATGATATCAACTTCCCTCACATTATTCACTTTATGTAATGGAGGTCGGCGATAGAACGATGAGTCATAACTGTGTCTTCGGCCGAGCCTCCTCTAAGCCATTCAACTTGTAATAAAGATGATTATCTCTGTCTGAGACCTCTCAAGGTGAAGGTCGCATATGCACTCCAGCAATTGATGTCTGGTGGAGCCAGTACGTTGACTTTTGAATGCAAATACTATGACGTAATTTTATAAATGTGGAGAGAATCTACAATACAGTAAACCTGCAGAACATACCGAGGATTTTTCTCGAAAGGACGTGTGTGTGTGTGTTCCAAGTATGGCTGTCCAGCCGACGTAATGTCTTCTCATAAAGAATATTCATGTATTAAGTTGAATAAAAATTAATTTTAATTTGTTAACTTAGATTTAATGTTTATAAGTAAACAATTGATATATTGAATGTTTTCAATATTATAGAAAATTAGAAAAATATATATTTTAGTATGTGTCTGGGGGGGTCTGAATTTTTATGTGTCCCCCTGGGTGCGACACTGAATCTCTGACAGTATTGTTGATAAGTTGAGAAAGATTTCGCGCTTGTTTACAATTCAACTCTGCTTTCCAAATAACCCCCCCTCTGCTAGTTCCAAATAACTTACATTCGAATTTTTATAAACTGTTGTTAAGGGGACTGCATGAAGGCTTTTTGGTACAGTATTATATGACAGAGGTGGCATCTCTTCTCACCCACCCAAAATATATACCAATTTCAATGAAATGGGGAGAAACATGAATGTTTGCTTCACTTCCGACTAGTCACACTGTACGTTTATAATTTGGACATTCTACTCCATATTAAAGTATTTTGGTATGTAATGCATCATGAGTAATATACAGAAAATAGAGAAAGCAAGGAAAAAAAATATGATACATTGTCATGATGGAAGTCAACGTACATTCTGTATTTTTTGGTTTGTGTTGTTTGTACTATTCATGTACAAAGAGGAACGAAAGGAAGCAAAATGAAACTCACCGAATCCTCCCAGAAACTGCTCCAGCGTGAGAACCCCGCTGCCCTTTACGTCCAGCGAGTCGAAGACGTCTTCCAACTCCTCGGGAGCCATCGCCACTTCGGTGCGCATGCGCTGAAATGCAAAACATTGCATATTAGGTGCGATTCGGCAGCACTTGAAAACTCGACAAACATGTATGTGCAAGCACAGACAACTGCTGTCGACCCAGCAGCAGTGAATGTTCCTTGAGAGACTCAAGTTGGAAAGAGCTTTAAAACCAGGCAGAAGTGTCTAAATCTGCGAAGTTTTCGTACCACAGAAAACAAGGTGGTACTGATATGTACTGTTTCAATTTTATAAAGTATATGCTACTTATTATGGATATCATTCGAGCCATTTTATTTTCAGTTTAATGAGAATATTCATCGATGAAACTAGGCACGTTTGTATATAATTTTGTTGACTTAAGTTACACAGCCAAAAAGGGAGTCGCCTAAAAATTCGAAAACATATGTCAAATTCAGGTGATCATATTTTCCAAAATTATCATCCAAAATGAATGAAATGTCTTTTCCTGAATGATGGAAGTGTCCTTTCCAGAACAGGAAAAGTGTAAACGGCTTAGCAAGTCAAAACAACTTTCTTCAAAACTAAAAAATATCAAATACGTTGACATTTTAAAAGTTATGGATTTAAAGTGCATTTTTAGAAGTAATTTGCGCATAAGTTCTATAATATTTTATTAAGAACCAGGAATTATCTCGGCCCCTTCCGACACCTTGCAGCTGCAAACTTTCTCGTTGTATCGTATGGCATTATATTTTTGGCCTCCCCCACATAATGCACGGTGCTGTAACTGAGTCGGTCTTACACGCATACTATGCCTAATAACAGGTAAAAATGTCCTCTATAAAAATGCCAATGCTTTTTGCCAGGATCAGCAAATTTTGATGATTGTTTTTTCGTTTTGAAGGAAATCGTAGTATATCTTTAACACCACTCAGCATTATTACCACAATTACTTTATTCGCAATATATATTCGTATGCGGTGAGATTGAGTAGATCAGTTCAACATGAACTTCTTCAATCTAAATAACAAATATCATCCACGAAATTGGAAGTTACAACCAGTCACTTCCTAAGTTTATAATTAAGAGTAAATATTAATTGTATTGTCAATATCAGACAATATAAATTACAAACAAATAATGATTCAGTTTTTCAAGAAAAAATGTGAATGACTTATTTCTAAATGAAAATAATTTTTTTCAACGCCAGCGTGTTTTATGATAAATACATGAACATCTACATGTATTGAGATCCCTACAGATCCGCATCAAGAAAATGCTGGTATAGACTATTGCATCAGTCATGCTTTGAACTGATATAAAAACTTACGCGGTAGTGTAATTGAAGTACCAGTTTAATTTACGCAAGGTTGACCTCTAGCCGATTACCTGAGGTAGGTATGACTGCTCACTGAAATAACAGGCTGACATGACTGCTTTTAACTGGAGCAGATAGTAGCACCCAGTCGCGGGTAATAAATAAAAACCCAGTGAAGGGTAATTATTCCTGCCAGACCCAATGATTTAATGATGTGGTCGTAAACATCTCTCTCATGACCCTTCGCATATTTTCAATGTTCTTTATTATTTCGAAATACCTATTTCTATTCTTTTTATTTTGCAATTCTATTCATGTGGCAAGGATAATTCATTCCACTGCTCTACACTTCTTGTTATGTGGAATTGGTGAGAGAAGTATCCAATGAGATGGTGATCATCGTATATCAACTCTGGGTTTGAAATAAATGCAAAGTATTGAAAATTATAAACTAGAGTTATTAATAATTAAATTTAATCATTTCAGCCATCTTTCATTGCTCACTACCATTCCTTGCGCGATGATCGGAACCCTAATTTTAGAAATCTTGACTCGAGTTAAAGGCGACCGTAAAAAAATACTTAATTCACTTTAAAGTAGTACATCTCACAAAAGTACTAAAGAATAACCTTTACCCAACCCCTCCTGTTCTTCCTGAAAAGTAATTATGTCAGCATGTGAAACATTAAATTTTGTTTTAGAATGCGATTATTAAAACGGTCAATTCATTTCTTTTCATGGACGGTCCAATAAAATTTTAAACGAACGTCGCAAATGCAAGAGCACGCACAGAAGACGAAATGCGAAAAATGCGGAACATGAATATTCTGGCAAGACTTCGTAGATTTTGAACTCACCCTCCCTGACAAATTTTCATTCGTCCTTTTAAGCTGCCGTACGTGCTGTGCAGTGCCTGTCGACTTCCTGTGGAACTTTCATTATCTCAAAACCTCAGTTGCCGGCGAGTCTCTCTTGGCGGGCAGTGTTTTAAGCGGAGTCCTCTCTTTCGCTTTGTTAAGAAAATCTAATCTGGAAGGCTTTAATTTTTTTCTGGGAGCTTGCGAGGAGCATTCGCGAAACTAAAATTAAAGAAACGCTTCGCGCGAAGAGAAATGATTGCAACGCAGAGCGCCTTTCATTTGTGCGCGGAAGAGCGACTAATGGAAAGACGATGAGGAGGCTGTGTAGCGCTATGAATTCCAACGCGACAGTAAAGCGTGAAAAAAGCAAGGTGTTTTACACAGATATTCGCAGGCCGTTTCAATTTGACATCGACAAAACGTTCTGGGAGGGAAATGAGGGTGGGAAACGAGTCATAAGAAATCTTACAGAGGGGAATGGAGAGAGAAAATTGAAGTCAACGAGGGAGAGAAATAGAAAAAGAGTACATTTACCTTAACATAATAGCTGCACAATAGCAGGAAAAGGGCGAATTTTCGACCGAAACACTCTGTTGTGCCCTGGTAACGAAAAAGTGGATAAACCCCTATTCTATGTATAGTAAATTACTTCCTCTAATACTTGGTGTAGCCAAAATTCATGTTTTGTGGGTCCTTGATATCGAAAAAACGATTGTTGATGAAACGATTGTCGATTGTTTCTTGACATTTCATACTGACCCACTATTCCTTGATGTCGACAAAACATGAATCCGTCCGTGGTCAATGCTAACTCCTAATCTGTTAAAAAATAAGGTGTTAGTCCTATTTTCACAAAATTCTCCGTATCTTTAGAAAACTACAAATACTTAACATTTCAAAACTACAAAACTGAAGATAGAGATTTTTGCCTTATACAAATACTGTTGTAAAACATCAGCTCTTTTAATAAGATCATACTCAATTATTTGGAGAAACGAGTAGTTTCCGCATAAATTGGGCTTGAAATTAATACAATTTATAAATAAAACATTTTCTCAGGAAACGCTCCAAAGTTTTTCTTCAAATTTATTCCCCCGATAGAAGAAAGGACGCTTAAAAGAATGGCGTGGGTCTAATTTGTGTTGACTTTTTTGAAAACGAAATAATGCAAGAAAGTATGTGCTATTGTAGCCTCTCTAGTTTCAGAGATTACACCACATTCATATTTCAATGTTGCTGAAAACATTTCTGTGTAGTTCTAAATCTTGAAATTAAATTGTATTTTAACTTTACGACCTTCTTTATGTTTGTTTGCGGTTTAGACAATTTTCATGTCACTGATAATGATCACATAAAAGCTCCTGAACCGTTTAAGTTCCATATCATTGTTGTTGGAGTTGTAGAAACCGTCCATGTAATTCTTGAAACAAGCCATCTTCACCGTTGAAATAAAATACTGCATTGTCAGTGGCGTATTTTTTTTGATGATCCAGGATAACCAATTCAGGAATCGATTTGTCATTTTCAACTGTACAGCTTATTTGCTTACTTCTGCAGGGGCACGTACAATGTTTCTAAAGAAAATGAGAAATATGTTGGTTTAGACGTTGCTAGGAATGCTGGTAGGAACGTTGGTAAGTTTGTTAGTTTTAAATTTAGTACGGTTCACGAAAGTCAATCATTCATCTTAAAATGTTTCATTTCCTTTTTTATCTCTTGTTTTTTGAAGGTACTAACATGGTTTTGAGGTAAAAAGAGATAAGCGAGAGTGTTGTTTGTAAGGCACTCAAGTTCTCATCAGCCATTGTGATAACACTTATCAGCCCTTCTAGGATTCTGACGCCTTGTAACAAGAAAAACAATAATTACTTTCTACTTGTATATATTGGTAGGGACGTTGGTGAGGACATTAGTAAGGATGTTAGTTTGTATGACAGTATGGCTCATGAAAGTCTTCGAAATGGCTCATAATTCATCTGTAAATGTTTCATTTCTCTTTTTATCTCGTTTTAGTGTTGTAATATACTAACATGGTTTTGAGGTAAAAAGAGATAAGCAAATGTTGTTTGTTAGACTCTCAAGTTCGCATCATCCATTGTGATAACGTCTAGTAGTCCTTCAATTCTGTCCCCAACTAATAAGAAAAACAATAATTGCTTTCTGCTTGTATACATCAGATAGCGTACAGAGTGAACAACAAATACTATACTGTACACACATTCGATAAAAAGTGTTGTACAGCTACGTTAGATGTACTTCACTTACGTACAGCTACGTAAGTGAAGTACAGCTGCGTTAGATGTACAGAAGTGTAGGAAAGAAGTTTTCATAAATGGTATTTCCTCTTTAAACCAGCGAAATCTTAATTTTTGCCGCAAGTCAAGAAGTGTGTTCTTTCAGCATCCCATAATAGTGACTGTGAAATTAATAAGTAGTGGTAACATAAGGAGTAAATGGCATCTTACACATTCTGAGAAATTTAAGTCAATATCACTGTAAAGTCATCGTGCTTTGTTGCATCATTAATACAATGGCATTTCATTTGTTCGTTAAGACCACGAAAATACATTGCCGCTCAAATATAACCTAAAATAAACGCGTTTTTTTTCTCAGATTTTATAAAATGTCACTTATACCGTTCAGATTTCCAACCATTCAATTCTACTTCATTAACACCCTCAATCAGCTGTTGGCGGGATACAGAGACCTTGGGAAGAGGGCGGAGCCCGCCGTGCTGCGACGGTGGCGGTCCCTGGCGGCGCGTTTGCGCAACCGCGAGTGCACACGACCCGACGCTCGTGCGACCGCCACGCCCCTCGCGGTGACCTTGACGCGACGCGGGGCGGCGCGCGCAGAGAGGCCGATACCGCTCCGACTTCACTATACGCTCCAGTTGGGCTGGATGCGTACTAACCAAAAAGCGCGACCAGATTTTTTTTAATATAGACTTCTATATTGCATTTCTTGTGTGGCCAGTGGCGGATCCAGGGGGTGGTTACCAAGCTTCCCCACAAAATACAGAGTTTTCGTTTCTTACCTTCCTTTATTTGGCAAAATTGATTTAAGTATTTATTTATGTTAGAATTATGTAATTATTTAAAATATAATGTTGTAATTATCACATATACACTACAGAATTATAGAATATAATAACAAATTTTAATATTACTAATTTTATTATTTAACAAAAATCTATGGCCCCTCTTACAAAGTGGTTGGATTTGCCCCTGCGATTCCCAAAGACGTGCACTATTTTTTAGGAGGGAAATGTGAGGTTTTTGTAAGTCCAATAAATTCGACCCTCATTCATAGTGCCTTCGCTGCTGCAGATAGTAATGAAAAGAAACAACAGATCTCGAGACAACACAAGTACCAATTCATATTATTGTCTTATCACATATCTTTTTATATGAGTCCAGAGATCAGTAAGAGAACAGAGATCAAGAAGGAATGTTACATGCACATTCTACGTTGAGAGTGTGTTGCTATGTCGCAACAACTGAGATGGGAAAACGTGCGTAAATATTTGTTTTTTCTAGTATCTCTTAATTTTGGTTGACTGTCATACGTGTTTAATACGTTGATATTCGCTTTGATAGTTAAGAAGACTTTAACATAAATCAGTTTCGAATACTTTATTTCCTCTCAATATTTCACCTGCAGTTTTTATTGATTTTAACGAGAACTAAAAAATCATTAACTGATGTTATTAATAGCCAAAACGCATTTTGCTTCCAATGAATACTTATGCTGAAATTGTTGCATGATCAATACACGAAATAAATCTCGAATAATTAAACATATACAAGGTTACCAAAAGTTTAACAACGAACAAAAATGTGTCTACAATTATAATACAAACTGCATTGCACTAAGTCACTCATAATGCAGTAGAGACTGTCTGTCGCCTGAAGACTACGGTAGACCTCGGAAAAGGGAAATTTGTGATATGTGGAGGGGATTTCATCTACATAGGAGCAATCTGCTATCCTCCCTCCTCTTTCCACTCGCCGGCTGTATCTCTTCCCGGCCCCCATTAAAGCACGCAGTCTGGGATGTGTAAGATATGAATCGCGTGGGCTAACGCACGCTCAGTTGCAGCGACTATTAATATCTTTGAAGGTCTACAGAAGCTGCTAAACATTGCAGATCGCCCGTCGTCTGTTTCTCGCCATGGCTCCGAAGGTCAAACTAATCTACTTCGACAGTTGGGGAGCTGGTGAACCTATTCGATATTTGCTTGCTTATGGAAACATCGAATATGAGGACTATCGAGTGCTTGTTGAAGACTGGCCCAAAGTTAAAACCAGTGAGTATGAGAATGTCTTTAAATTTTAAATAATTATAAAGTAATAACAGACGCTGCACTTCTAGTGCTATATAATTGTCAATTTTATTTCTAGTATCAGCACTGTCCGATTCATCAAAGTCGATTCCTTCAAATTAGCTTCATTGCGATATATTCATTCTGTCAAACTTCGATTATTGTATTTTTGGTGTGCGCCACAACTTTTTTGCCATTTTTCGCTAGTGGCATCTTGCACAGTCTTCCGGAAAAGGTGTTTCACTTTAGTGACAGACATTTGTTTATTATTTCTTGCTACATAACCCTTCATTTGTGCCCATATCAATTTAGTAACATTGAAGTGGTAATGGTAGGCGGCACACGGAGAACGCTGTAACGCTGTGTTTTGCCACTTCGTCGATCACATATTAGCGGAATTAGGGGCTTGATTCTCGCAAAACGTATTTATGCCTTTTCCTAAGTTTTCGAGGATTTGAACTCAATAACTCCTTCCTTGACTTCAGATAGCGGCTGTCAGAAAAACAATATTAAGAGTGTGATATTAATTTCGTCTTGAATTTGAGATGCCATCGAGCAAATGCCGAAGCTTGTAATTCTCTGTTGCTAAGGTTACAGTACTGGCTGTATCAGGTGACCACGACGAACTGTCAATCGCATACTAATTTTGTTTCCAGTATAAAAATATATTTCTCAACTTCTTTAACATTTCATATTGATAACCGTTCTGTTGTATCCTGATAATCCAGACAAAAATATCGTAAACGATTTTACACTCTCATAATATGAAGTTATATAATGTGATATAATATCAGTATACACTTTCACCTTTATTTCTGGAAGTTTGGTGCTCTTTGTTTGAAGTAGAAAAATTTCGATTTCGAGAAAAAAAACGACTACTTATTTACCACTTGCGGGCAAGCAATTCAAACACGATGAACTGCACGGATTCACGCACTGCAGCTGCACTGTGGTTGAAGAGGGATAGGATTGGAATAAAATTAGATTGTATTTGACGTTTAGGTATGGAGGGGAACGATGCTGCCGCATACTGAGCACTCTCACAACAATGTGCAAATGTCGAAGCTTCTAATTCACCGTTCCCTGGGTTAGGGCGCTGACATCATCACGTGACCATGACATGTCAATCACATTCTAATTTCATTCGGACGTTAATCCGGTGCAGGGCCGCACTGGGCTTTCCTGCTCCGACCTGCTCAGGTGGCTCATTAACTGATGTCAATGCAAAGCCTCCGACTGAGAGGTCCAAGGGTTCGAGTTCCGACGAGGGCAGGTGTCAAGTCACAAACTACACAGCAAGGCATTTTTCCGTTGTTTCTCCGATCAATTCCAGGCGAATGCCTGAGTAGTACTATAAAAAGGGGCCCTAGACCGCGCGCGATCTTTCCTCTCCTTGACCTATCTCCACCTTACTTACACACACACACACACACTTATACTTACATACACCGCACTACCACAGATGTCGGGAGTTTCGAGCTTGTCTCGGTTGGGGCGGTGCCCCGCTAATGGAGATACTTGGATGAGGAGAACCACGCAAGCCGACCTGTAGGTCGGCGCCGGATCTCGCCAACCAGCTGGAATAGAACATTACCACTTCCCGTGGTAAAAGCATGCACTACTCTACGGGACCAAGCACTATTCTTCGATTTATTTAGAGTTGCATGTGACAGATCATCAGCTATTAATGAATCATCCAATCGGGAGCTTACACGTCACTAGAGTGATGTCATTATGGTGACGTTCAACCTCCTGATTGGGTGATACCGTAACTGCTGATTTACTCAACTGGCCCTCTATTTAAATCCAAGTGTATACCCGTTGACGTGCCCGGAAACACGAAATAATCAACTAATCAACCATTTCCTCCTTCGAGAGTCGAGACGCGAGTGTTCGCCGTCTCCCCTAGGCGTCGGGATGCGCATCGAAGTCGATGTTATGAAAACATCGATGGTTTTTAGAAAGAACGATGTTTTAAACATAGATGTATTAACACTGATTTTTTTTGACATCAGTGTTTTGTGATCGATGTTTCATTCTTTTCCGATGTTTTGTTTCTGGATGCAAAATTCACTTAATTACAGTACTGTAAGTGTTAAAATATGAAATAATGACTGATGGTAATTCTGTTAGTTCACGTTGTTTGTACTACCTTCTTCTTCGACCAAACTCTCTCCCTAGAGATGACCTCCTTGCCCTTGTATTTCCTCTTTCTTCAAGTTCATTTCAAACACTGAGATATGGTCAACAAATACGCTGTGGGCGTAGGGTCTGACCCTTCGTGTCGTACTTTGGCGAATTGATAAACAGGAACATTGAATTTTAATGCACATGAATTTAATGTTAGAGGTTACTAAACCAGTCTAAAAATATTGATCTTGTAAAACATCAATGGTCTTTAGTCCATGTATTAATAATATCGATGTTTTAATTTTCAACATCGTGTTTACTAACAACAGCGCGTTTGGAAGATGCAACGAAACCTGGTTTTTTCGAAAACGAAAATTTTCTCAAATAAAGAAAAGCGTTGCATGACGTTTTTGTTAGTATAATTATGAGACACCTGTAAATGTCTAAAAAGCAAAGTTTAAGTGACTAAAGAACAACTATCACATGCAAATATGAGCTGTATTAGCATAAATGTTTAAAGTAAAACACTTCATATTTTTTGTTAATAACTTGATCATACTTAAAATTGACAATAACTTTAACTTAATATTAGGTCAATATTATCTTCAACAGTAAAGAAAATAATTCAACATCTCACCTGTATACGTCATTAATAATTGTAAATTAACTAAAAATTAAATTCAATGTAAAGGGAATTATTTATACGACAAAACAACGAATCGGGTGGATACTACCCCCGTAGAAAAAAACTGCTTGGGCTACAACAAAGAACAATTCTCGATAGTGAATTTTGTGAAGTCGAAATATAGAACTTATTTTGCATTTATAGGTATGCCCTTTGGTCAGATACCTGTACTTGAATGGGATGAGAAGGTATTATACCAATCAACATCCATTTGCCGTTTCCTTGCCAAAAAGATGGGTCTGGCGGGAGATGACGATTGGGAAGCTCAAGAGATTGATGCCCTGGCTGACACTATAGCTGATCTGAAGCAAGGTAAGCCATTTTACCGCTTGTTGACAGTTATTCCACGAAGATATTTTACAGTCAGATCAAAAGACACGTCATAATGACTTCATTAAACAACCACTGCAGTCACTTGAATCTTTAATAATACTGATCAGTACGTTCACTTTAAACAGCGTACACGGCTGATTTTTTTGTTCGAAAAGATACAACGCGCGCAATTTTCCAAAGGAACACAAACATATAAAAATACTTGAAAAGTACAAACCCGGCCTTAAAAAAATGTTAAACACAGGAACGTCTTAAATTTAAACAAAACATAATGACTTCATAATGCGTGATGGAAGATAATATACGAAATCTTTTTAGTTTCAACTTGTGAAACCTTTCCTAAAAATTGACTTTGCAACCCATACAATAGCCAGTTTGTAGTCTTTTATATTTAGACCATTCCAATAGGACCACTCCAATAGATCTGCTACAAACATGAACGGAACATTTTGAGAATTTTTGACGTTAGTATTGATCTGAGTATGTACTGAAAAGTGACCCAAAATTGTACTTGCACATGCTGACGCTGGTGAGTGAGAGCATTAAATTATTAGAAATTAACGAATTTGTACTCCAAGCCTCAGAAGAATGCTCAATAATAAACATATATAATACTGAAACAAAGTTTTGCGAATATTGTAGTTGATAAAACCACTTTCCATTACTTTGAATTGCTTTGCTTGGTTCAACAAAAACATTTCTAATAATCCCAGCTTCTTCCAAAATATGGACTATAGGAAATATGGAATCTTATTAACAGTGGTTAGCACGTTTCTGAGGCTACAAGCCCTTTTGAGAAGGACGTTCGCGAATTAATTAAAAACATTCATTTTATAATTCAGGAGATGTAAAAATGATGTATTGTCATCAGCCACTTAAAAAAAATCGAAGTATATTCCGTTTGGTGCTGGTTAAGGCTGGGTGGGCGCGAGACGCGCGTAATATAAATCATCATAGTGTTTCACGAGCAAAACCCAATCATTTAAAAACGAAATCACAATATGTCAGGAGAACGAATTGAGAAACTTAAAAAACACGTTGCTTCCTGCATCGGTTATTTCCAAAAGAATGGAAGGTGTTGAAATGTTACTATAGCCAGCATTACGCCTGAAAGTGAATGTTATTGCAATAAGAAGAAAACAATCACAAATAAGGCGGCAAATTTGAATAATTATATATTGGTGGTTTCACGACTTCTATTTTTACAGTTAAATGCCAAACACTGAAACCATTGTGAACATTATTATTTTAACCACTAATATAATTTAATACAGATAAACGAAAAGACAACAATGTAGAAATAATATCTCATACAAACAACACGACGATTCAGTACAACAGTTCTACTCCCCAAACCTCTCATGTTCTGACTGCAAAAAACAGGGTGGCCCCTAGTTCGGCGAGCGACCACCAATAGTGCTGAAACCATAGGGCCAGCCACACTATGTCGTTTACTCTAGCTCGTTGGTTAAAACAGAAACCAACGACAATGGTAACGCGCCTTCGTACATCTTCTGTCTCGGGTCAGGTCTTCCGCATTCGAACGACTGAGAATGCACTTTGATATTTTTTTCTTTTTTGCAGCAATCAATGAATATGGATGGTACTGTTCCCGCGCAGAAAGGCCTATCAAGAAGCAGAAATTAATAAAGGAGACACTTCCCTTCATTCTTTCGCGCTTCGAAAAACGTATCGGGGAAAATAACGGTTATTTGGCCAATGGAAAGGTGAGATAGTGTGCAATATTTTATCATAGAACATTGTTTAATTCGGTTGTTTATTTTTACAATAAAACAAAGTGCTACCAGTGATATCTTAAATGAACATTAAGAGGAAGTAAGCAAATAAAATTTCATCTTTTGTATATGCAATGAAAATAATATTGTATACTCTTCTTACAGCTTAGTTATGCTGATTTTATAATTGCCGGGTCAACAGAATATTTTTCTGTTACAATGGGATTTGATATTACGGACGGCTACCCGAAGCTGAAGGCCCTTGTTGACAAGGTGCACAAATTCCCACAAATACAGGCATGGGTCGAAAAGAGACCTAAAAATGTATACGCATTCAAAATGGATGATTAAGAATAAAACATTTTGTTTTATGAATCTGTTTTTGTTCTCTTCCTTACTTTACCAAACTTGTTAAATAAAAACAAAATCACAATAAATTGTGAAAACTTTAGCGGAATTTGAATTAAAGGTATGTTTATGAGTTTTAATAGTTGTAATGTTTTACTATAATTATAAACCATTTTCAGTATCCAAAGAAACTATTTTCTTCAAGTAAATGCTATAGTAGCACACACGAGAAACGGTAATTACTATTACTAAATTTCAATTAATGAAGGGCGAGCAAAAACTCCATTCAAAAATGCCGGCATAGGATGTCCTGTTTTCTTATTGGTAAACGTGAACTCCCCCACTCCAGTCCTATTTGCACGGGAATAGTACCTGCGGGAAACGCTAGGGCGCAGAGCGAACACAAATCGAAACAGCCGAATCAGCCGGCACTGGCTGGCTGGCACGTTCCACACGTCGCGACGCCAGGACTGCGCGTTTATTTTGCCTCTCAACATGGCTGTTAAACCAAAGCTTACTTACTTTAACTGCCGCGGATCCGGCGAACCGATACGTTACCTTCTAGCTTACGGAAACACTGACTACGAGGACATTCGTTTCGAAGATGAAGAATTTCCTAAACTGAAACCCAGTAAGTACCTCGATTATCAAGCAAATGATATGCCACCATTATTATTATTATTATTATTATTATTATTATTATTATTATTATTATTATTATTATTATTATTTTGCATGCCGAGCTCTGTAACTGTTGCGGCTAGTGATTGTTGTAGATACTCGTCGAGCGCGTGACATCCCTGAAGTCGGTATTATGTTTGTCCTCTGTTTCGAGTCATCCTGGATTGCATGATTTTTTATATGAATACCATTGCTCACACTGGCGCGAACTTCAAACGACCATACCAAGAGCAAATTCCGATTAGCGACTATATTTTTTCACTTCACTTGAAGTGTAGAGGTTATGTGCTGAGACTATCACGTTTATACCTTCTTGCCAGCCCATCACATTGCGTGCATTTACAAATATTTGCTTTGTAACACTGTTTTATAGCAAAGTCTTGAAAGCAGATGATCGTGGATCCAGTTTAACTACTTACTCGAGTGTTTTGAGTGACATTTGATAGAACTGAGCGTTTGCCGGCTACAATAAGTTAAACAATTTAACTAATTTGTATGTCAATTGGTTTACGGTTTTTAATTACTTCAAAATCCAACCAATCAATCATCAGTTCAAAATTGAACCAATTTCGAACACACACTTATGGTCACGGAGCATTTTTTCCAGAACCAGCAGCTGAAACAGAACACGGCTGCGTTGCCAGATGCGTCCGCCGGCATTGTCCTTGGGCAGCAAAAAACCGCTTCCCCCCACTCCGTCAGCTGCCGCATCAGTTGACGCTCCGGCCCTGCACTCGAGGTGCGCAGGCGGCGGCGGTTAATGTCGCGGGTTGTCGTATCGGTCAACCGCGGCGCGCCCACACTGAAGCTTGACAAAAACCAAGATAATAATCAAATACGGTGGGCGTCGTCAGTCACGTGCCGTAATCGGCGGCTCGATACGAACGAAAAATGTACGGCGATTGACGATTCGGGGAGTAAAATACAGTTTGCCGACCTGGATGGCTGAGGTGCTTAAAAGCGTGTACTGACTCAGCGCTTTTGTTCGCTTAGGGGTGCGGGTTTGAGTCCCACCTTGCGCATGGTTGTTTGTCACTTGTCTCTGTTGTTTATGCTGTCGCGAAGGCCTCGCGTTCTGTTGACCCCCATATCAGAGGAGCCCGCTAGTGTGTTGGTGTCTAGTGTATGGGTGAATATGCGTCCCACTGGGACGTAAAGGATAACCAACTGCTGGCTGGAAAAAGTCCTACGAAATGAATTCATTTTTCTAAGAATATTTCTAACTGTTGTCTTTGATCTTACAATTAGAGTGTAGTTGAAAATCTCCGGCCGTTTTCAAATTGCTCCTTACCCAGGGCATATACCGATGTATGATTTGTGAGTGCTTATAAGTTGTTCTGTTAACAGATTCACAATGTTCACATCTCTTGGAGGACTATAGGCAGACTATGCATGTGTTTAGGCCTGCAGATTGATAGGAACCCTTCATTTTTTGTCCTATATTCTTAACTGTGAAAAAAATATTCAAGTACAGCATTTTTAAAGTACTGATTTATTTAGTTTCACATTAATTTTGATTGCATATATACATAATTCAATACCAAAAGGGGGCCCTTAAATTACTAATCCAGCCCTGCGTGTTTCTTTCCGTAATGGTCTGAGCACCTAATTTTTGAGAAGGAAACAGCTTTGCAAACAAAACAACCACCACCATCACGAACCGCTTTTACACCTAAAATGACTCATTATACATATTTTATTTACTTCATTAGTGGAAAACACGATATTTATTTACTTATTTATATCACAATTTCAAGCATTTATCATTACATCCACAGTAAATATTGATTGTGGCTTCTGCTGTATGGTTCTTGTGGCACTTCGCCAGATTCAAGGGACTGCTTTCGTATACGAGTCGTCACATCACTTGAGGCAGTTTTGCAGATACAGAATTTTTTTATTTTTACAATTTTCATTATATTATTATTTATATTTCACATGAAAAATGAATGTTGTGTTGCGAAAAGCCTTGGCAGTATGCGCTAACGCTATGTATGCGCTAACGCCCGAACTGCGCTTTAGTGCCATCGAAAAGAAACTACTTTATTTTAATACAATTTTTAGCTCAATAGACTGATATATTTTGATGATATTGTGAACCAAAAATGTACGAACCACATGTATTTTTCTTACTTGTTCGAATTATCCAACTGAATGAATCTTCGATATTTTGTAATTGTGTCTTAGCATGCCCATCCAATTCATTATTGTCCATAATGTATCGTGTAAATACACTGTTACATTTCAATACCTAAATTATTAAATTTATTAATGTGTATTATGCTTAAAATGATTTCGAAAAATTATTCTTAAAAGCAATTGATTTCCGATGTTTGATTTCATTGAGTACGACCTCTTAAGAATTACACAACCAAACTCGAACCACACTCCGCTACATCACAACCTTATCAACGAATGATGTACAATCGTAAAGTAATATTTGCCTTTCGAATTCAAATATTATATTACGATTATAAAAATTAAATTTCCTCAGACTTGCCACTCATGCACCCTGGTTCATCTCAAACATTCAACTGCATAAAGAATTTAATTTACCTCCTATACTTCACCATATCGCGCTCCTATCTAACAATTTCTTCTCCAAAATAAACACAATAACCCAAGCCCCACCACCTACCAGCTCCCAACAAGAATAAAAAATAGATATCCATTAGATTCATTCCTCAGCATATTTTCAGAAGTCAATTAATCACATAGGTGCTCTGTGAGTTTCCTATTCATGTGTAGTTAGATTTAGTTGTAAGATTAGCATTTAAGTTAAATATAAGTCATAAAAAATACATATGATGTAGTATAAATAATACTGAACTATGTATATTCGTTCACTAATAAAGATATATTATTAATATTACTATTATAAAACATTCGTTGGCTATGCGTTGAAGGTTGATCTAAGTCATGTGACTGTTATGAACAGTCTCTCTATGTAAATTTAATTGGAAAGTATCCTTAATTAATGATAATATGAAATATCTTGAATGATTGCATTTACGAATCTTGACTTTTTTTACTCTTTTCCAAATACGAACTACCATGTTTCTGTACTGCAATGAAAATATTTATTCATGCATTCATTATTACATGCAGGTGACTTATTTGTAGTTTAAAACTAGTTGTGCCACAGAACGGCGGATAATACTTTCTCGTACTTGATAGTTTACTATTAACAAGAATAGGGTTGGCTTTTCAGATTTGGTCTCACCCTCTTCCCAGCTGCAACCTATCGGTGCCTAAAAAACTTATTGTCCCGCTCTTCTTGGGACATAAGCATCCAGTTACTGAATTACTAAACCAATTGCACATAGTCAGGCCAAGAATATATATATATATATATTAACAAAAATATTTAGTTAACTTTCGTGTAAATGAGGAAATAGTTTAATCAGGAAACACGTATATTTTCCATTTTTCGGTCCCCTCTAAGTATAATTGACGAATACACCTATGGTTCTATGAGTAAACTTTCATGGACAAATTTGGATGTGCGTTTCTGAAAATTTGCAATTTTGAGCTCATTTTCACACAACTTTTTTTGAGTTTTCGAGAAAACTCACAATAAATAATTTAAACCCCTTGTACGTACTCACACGAGAGATATAAAAAAAAATACAGTAGTGTAATTTTTTAAAATCAAAATAATACATTCAAATGTCGTTTATGTTGTGTTATCAAGTCATTTGGCACTACCCAAAGAAGAATTTTGATGTAGACGTTTTGATGTTTGAAGGATAAGAAAAAAAATGGAGCCATATTGAGAAAATATTTTTAAAATGACCTACATATGTAATCTCAAAATTACACGAGAACAAATATTTTGAAACAATTGTATGTGTTATAAATATCCATTTACTTCTGAAAATAAATTGTATTTGAAGAAAAAAACTCCATAGTCATTAATGTGGAAGAAACAGGGAGATCGAAGAATTTAAAGCTTTTGCAATTTTCAAACGTTTAAAGTTAAGAGTGAAAATTCAACTTATTCCATCTTCATAAGTATATTTTTACTTATTCTTACAAGAAATTTATAGAACAAAATTGGAGCCATTTTTTAGAAAAAGTTGAGAACGTCCCAAAGGCTTTATGTGAAGCACCCTTCAAAATTCGTTTCAAAGTCGCAGAGCCTCGAGTCAAGCCCGATTGATCAGGTCATATTTAAACCCCGGGAAACATTCTACAAATAGTTTAGGCACCGGTATTGTTCACAAACGGATAGACGGACGAATGGAGTCGGGCAGATGGACGTTTAAAAAACAAAACACTGTTTCAATGTCATGGGGTCTCAATCATGTTTTTTGTTTTCTGTTCTGCGGAAACTCGAAATCGACTTTCATCAGCATTACGTAATATTCTCTTATACTACCTGTATTACTCCGTACGTATGCGACAAAGTGAATCATAGCAGCGGGATCCTCATTATATTAACCTAAAGTCCTCAACCATTTTGGCATAAGAAGCCTAGATTCTTCTAAACAAGTGTTGTTGTTTTGTATTTTTTATTTTGTAAGTAGTACTTAATATGTGGCAATTTTCAACATTTCCAAGATGCGAAGTGCAGTTTTATGGCATGAAAGTCATTAACGTCATTTATGAACAGCGGATGCACAGCAATTTTGAGGATCGGCTGGCAGGGGAAGGTTCGGACCCCTAAAATCGGATGCAATCGCAGGTCCGCAAGAGATGCAGGACTGTCGTATTTAGACTCCTCTTCCACCGCTTTTCAAATGTACGTTTTTTTATTTGGTATGCAAAACAATAAGATATTTTCTCAGGCATATTATTTAGAAATATTCTCAGATCTTTGACTCACTATAAGTTCAACCTTCTGAATGATATAGAAGAAAACACATTGAAAACTGCTCTCCGTAAACGATGCGGTTCTCAGCAATGACAATTGAAACATTGTTCATCTTACTCATGAGAAGACGGTGAATTTGCTTGCTTTGTGAAACAATTCATCTGTACATTTTAGTGCATTTGTACGAAATTGCAGAAATACACGAATTTGGATGATTGCTAACATTTTTCACTTTATTATCTTTATGTTGGTAAATAATACTATAAAATGTTCTCAACAGATTTTCCGTATGGTCAAGTGCCTGTTCTTGAAATTAATGGAAAAATGATTCCCCAAACTCTGGCCATTTGTCGCTACCTCGCCAAGAGGAATGGACTATATGGCAGCGATGATTTCGAGGCTATGCAGATAGATGCTGTAGCAGACGCCATTGTAGACCTAAGAAATGGTTGGTATACATATGTATGATTATTAGTAGAAATATTTCAACACAATTAATTGCATAAAAGACGTTGATGGTCATCATAGTCAATCATTTCCACAATAGTAATCTAACCACATTGGAAGAGATATTTTTTTTCGACCTTAATGAGTTGTTTTTGTAGTGTGTAGTTTATGTAGTGTTGATGAAAATAGTTTACTTTTTCTTTGTGTTCCATTATTTTTGTTGTTGATTTTCTTCTTGTTTAGCTGAGATTAATAGGACTCCCCTAAAACTCATTAATCTAATTAAATATATGGACATCAACGCGTCTTACACAATAAGCATCTGTAAAATAATTATACAGAAGTATGCGAAATTACGTTGATTTATATTAATATAACAGAGGTGTTGAGGTTTTAAAATAATGTTTTAAATAAAAATGTTACTAGTGTAAAAAACGTTTTGATGTTACAGCATTCACATTCTGCTACTGGATTACTCCAGAAGATCAAAGGCCTGCTCATGAGGAAAAGCTGAAAAAACAGACTCTTCCGTTTTACCTATCACGCTTTGAGAAAAGTTTACAAGAAAACAATGGATACTTCGTCAATGGAAAAGTAAGATTCCGATTCCAATAATAAAAGTGTTGCTTTAAAGTTACCCTAAGTAACGAAGAAATCTGTGCACAAATGTACGTAATTCCCAATATCGAAGAATTTGGAGCTAAGTGAAATTAACTAATTCCGCATTTCAAAAATAATTTCAAACTCCATAAGAATATTAAAAAAATACTTACTACAATATGTAATTTGAAATGTAACAAATTAAAGTATATTCTTGCCTAACCACCGATATCTTATTTTCTTAAATTCCTGAAATACGATACGAAATTCAGAATTCATTAAAATGTTCTAAAATTTCAAACGTTGTCATTTTTCAGCTGAGTTACGCAGACATCTTCTTCGCTGGACAGGTGCAGCACTTCTCAGATAACACGAAATATGACATTACGGACGGTTACCCTCAGCTGAAGGCTCTTGTGGAGAAAGTGGAAAACATACCACAAATCAAAGCGTGGATTGAAAAGCGGCCTAAAACTGATTTTTGATTTCTATGTACAATTCCTTGTCAATAAAAAAATCTCCATTATGTCTATTTTTAATTTTTTAAGGAGGCTTTTCAACATTTCGGTCATACAGCGACCACTAGTATTTTTTAAACTGAAGGGGGAACTGTAGGGAGAACACGTAAGGGCAACACAAACACACACAGCGCCCGAGGGGGGGGGGGTAATCCGTGACCCTTCGAGCCGAGGCAGATAGAGGCCTTCAGTCTTAACGACCTCTGTTATCAGTGTTGCCATATCGGCGGAATTCCCTCTGTTTTCAGCGGATTTTGAACTCGTACGGCGGAAAAAAAATTAGTTTCGCGGACAGCGGAATAAACGGCGGGAATTAATATAGTTAGTAAAGCAGTAAAATTAGTAAAGCATCAGTTTTCGTTAAACCTTTATTAATAAGTTGTTTTGCACAGATGCATATTTTTAAAATTTCTAAATTCATGTTACTAGCAAGAATAAATAATGTAATACTAATATAATAAATTATATAATACCTGAAATCAATTGTTATTATTTTGCAATTATTTTCACACAGGTTAGTTATTATTTTCACCCAGGTAATGCATTTTATATTATCTAAAAACTGAATTTCAGGTTCAATAAAGCCACTCTATTTCGCAATCATATTTTTAATAGAATAAATTAATACATTTAAATATGGAAAAAGAATTTATTTTACGTTTAGCGGATTTAGGCGGGATTTTTAAAACCAGTTCAGCGGATTTTCGGCGGAAACTGAAACGAACATGACGGAATCTCTCTAAATAATTTGGCAACACTGTCTGCTATCCAGGCCGGTGATATCAATCTTTTGTTGTGCGCTCAGAAGAAATTTATTTCCAAAACAATAAAGAGCATTACTCATTAACTGCGTTTTTAATAATATTACGTTATACAGTATATTTTCTGTCATATAGGTTTAGATTTAGACGTCTGTGATGCTTTGATATACAAAATGAAGTTCACTTCATCATTCGGTGAACGCCTAATCAGAAAATGGACTTCTGGTAATACAGGTCTGTGGGTTCAACAGACGTCGAGTCAAACTTGGATCACGAAGTTAGTGGTACTTGAAGCTGAAAAGTTTCACTCAAGAGGTCTACGAGGATAATACTATTCATGACATGGTTACAGGTTAAAATAAAAGTTGGAAAGTGTAGGGAACAATAATGCATAAGATTTTAAAAAATGTGTTCAATTGGTATTCTGTAGTAATCACACTGTAATACTTGCTAAAATTTCATGTTCAAATACACTCCTTTGAAGTAACGTGACTAATTTTGTTTGGCACCATTACCGCATATAGATTTGGTTATATTTCCATTTCGCCGAGGTATCTTTTATTATTATTATTATTATTATTATTATTATTATTATTATTATTATTATTATTATTATTAATAATAATAATAATAATAATAACAATAATAATAATTATGTTTATTTTTCCTTCTATTTGTTATGTACAAAAATCATCTAAAAGGAAGTATGAACATTTACATAATTATGAATATTGACACAGTTACCAAATTTCGTCCAAGAGAAAGTCGTACTAGTAGTATCAGAAATATAGTGATTCTAGCGCATTTGCGGAAAACTTAGCTGCTTTGCGGGAAGCATTAGCGCCTTCCTCCTCGGGCTCCAGCTCGCGCTTTCCTCCTCCGCGCTCCGTCCCACTCCAGCCCCGCGCCCCTTTTTATTACAGGTTGAGTTAATGCTTTCGGAAATCACGGGCCGGCTTGTGTGGCTCAAGGGGGAAAAATGTGTCGCTGAAGCGCCTCTGGCCGGGAGATCCTAAGGAACGAGTCCCGACGGTGGCAGGAATTTTGACACTAGCAACAGAAATTCGAAATTAAGCCCCTGACTGGAGAAGAGTACAAGCGGCCGGCTGCTCTGATCGGTAGGTTTCTGTGGTTTCTCCGGTCAATACGAGGCAAATGCCGGAGCAGAATCCTAGCAAACGGGACACAGACCGCGCGCGATTATCACATGCGCCTGCCCAGCGTGAGAAGGAGCATCAGGAAGCAAATTTGCAAAACATCACGTCGACGTGCGAAAGCGATATTTTAGTTTGCAGCATGGCGCGCCTGCAACTCCCAACTACATGCAGACTTTCATATAAATACTTGAGTGAACATATAATTTACCAAATGGATATTTATCCTCCTATCTCAATTCTTCCCCTTCGACTCCAATCCACAACGTAGGATGAGACCCTCCGTCACCTACACATCTTCCACAAATGCCCTTCCACATGACCTCTTAAAACTTCATTTTGGTATTTCTATTTGATATTGTAAAACCATAACTGAATTTCGAATAGAGAAAGTTACGTTTAAATGTGCCGCAGATACTGGTCGTCCTTTCTTATTGGAAAATACGCGCCCCCACTCCGGACTACAGCATGAGAGCAGTTCAAGAATATACCACTAGAGCGCAGTGCAATCCATACTCGTTAGATCTTCAAGCGTCACATTATCGCGTACTGCGGTGGGTTTGTGGTATATAAAGTGATAGCTCAACGAAGCTAGTGCGACGAGGGTCAGGCGATAATTTCACTATCGGTTTGTCTCATCTCCTTTAATATGTCTCTGAAACCGAAGCTTACGTATTTTAACTACCGCGGATCCGCCGAACCAATACGATACCTGCTGGCTTATGGAAATATAGAATATGAAGACTGTCGCTTCGCTGATGAAGAGTTCCCGAAACTAAAACCTAGTGAGTTGTATTTATCAACAGGGAACTATTCTCTTAAATATTTTATTTTCGCCTGATAGATTGTAATGTTGCTTTCGCGTTATGTTGTATTTTGCTGTAGCGATTAAGAACGTTTATATCTTCACAAACGGATCAAGCACACTTATGCTTTGTAAATGTTATCTATTATTCCATAATTTTATTTTATGTTTTTTAGTGTATTTGGTACTGTGTAGGACATCAAATACGCCACAATGATGGATTGATGAAGTCATTAAGTTATTTTATGCAAATTATAAGTGCCCAAGGACTCTACATGTCGCTGTTTGACAGATAGTGGTATATCGCTGGATTAATTGTAGTCTTGAGGGAGTATTAATAGAAATAATTTTCCTCCTGGGAAAAGGATTCTTGATTTTAGTAATGAATTATGGGCGAAAACAAGTTTAAATCTATCTATTGAAAAATGGGCAGAGAGCATATGGTCGCTGAGCAAGTTTATAAATAAATTTTTTCCAATTAAATTTGGCGCTACAGGTTTCATCGCAAGATTATTGTTATTTAAATCTTTGCATTATCTGTCCATTTAATACAAAACTTGAAACATAATTAACTATAATTGTGTATTCCATGTGGCAGCAATTACGAATTAGTATTTTTTGCCACCAAATATTTTATTTATTTCATACGTAGGATCTTCCTGACTTACTTTTACAAGATCGCTGATTTGCTTTTCTTTACAACAGTATATTTGTATTACTTGTATACAAAAGAGTAACATTATTTTGATCAACAGATTTTCCGTATGGTCAAGTACCTGTTCTTGAAATCAAAGGAAAAATGATTCCCCAAACCTTGGCAATTTGTCGCTATCTCGCCAAACAATCTGGATTGTATGGCAAAGACGATTTTGAGGCGATGCAGATCGATGCTGTGTCAGATGCTATCATAGACCTACGAAATGGTTGGTATGAAAATGTATTACTTCATAAGATCGTAAAAATATCTAAAGGCTTTACATTTATTACCATAATATTATCACTTCAGTGATCAAACTACTCGCTTGAACGAGACGAGCAACGTAAGTACTAAGTATGTTTTAGGGGACGAGGCAGGCGGTTAAATAACAAGATAGTTTTTCATCTTGGCGTGTTGATTGTGTAAAAACCCCTTACTAGATAATTATATTCAATTGGTTTCTAATGTTTCGTATTCCACAGCGGTTTGGCTGGCCTACTGGATTACACCAGAAGACGAAAGAGCACCACTAGTTGAGAAGCTGACCAAGAAGACTCTTCCATTCTACCTATCACGCTTTGAGAAGACCATACAAGAAAATAATGGATACTTTGTCAACGGAAATGTACGTTTATTAAGAGAAATGCGCTGCGTTTAAAAATGATATTATTTTGAAATCATCAATCTATGAATCAAAGATATCTCAATAGTACAATAATTTTTTATTTTATTTACTTCTGTGTATTGAAAAAATTAATTTGTATAGAAGAGGTGCAAACAACTAAATTACTGCCCTAAAACTCCCAAAAATATTATTTATTTCAGATTAGTTATGCAGACATCGTTCTCGCTGGACAACTTGAAAGCTTATCGGATAGTACGAAATATGACATCACGGACGGTTACCCTCTTATCAAGGCTCTTGTGAAGAAAGTGGAGAACTTGCCACGAATCAAAGCTTGGATAGAAAAGCGGCCAAAAACTATTGGTTGATTGTTCTGTATGACTGTTTTATCAATAAAACTCTGACTCTTTATTTTATTTTGTTCTCTGTAATGTTCCATAAAACTTGACAAAAAGTAGATAACTTGAGTATAGCCTCGTTTTTACCCAAAACTCGATTTGCAACTTTCACTAATGCTTTTTTAAAAATTTCATGTAGCACATCCCTCATTTTCTCATTAGGGTTTCACCATTCTGATAGAAACTTCCTCCCGTCAATGAGAGAGTTTCTGATACCCAATGAAATGTTTTTAAATATAATTAGTGTTTTTATCGTGTTTTTAAGCTTTTATTTCAACTTCACTAAAAGTTTGTTTTACTGGCGGCCCTAATATGTTTACCATATTTATTACCCATTATTATTTCTGTGATTAATTATGAAATTTCAAGAATGTTTTAATTATTATTGTAATGTTTTTGTGTAAATCATGCATTAAACGAAAATAAAATCACGATCATTAATTTATGGGTACAAAATAAACCAGTAAGCGAAAAGATTGAGGAACATAGTAAATAAAAGCGTTGCAAGTAAATGTACTTCGGGGCCATAGCGAAGTAAAACATGATTTTCATTTAATTTTTTTACTCGAAGTATCTAAAAATATGTCTCTTAAGTTTTTTCTAACCTCCCCAACATCTTTTTCAAGTTCTTGGCATTATCTACTAATAACACCACATCACTCGCATAAGATAATGACCTTTTTTTATTTTACCAATCAATATCCCTCCATCCTGGCCCTTCGTTATCTTCTCTTCTAAACCTACCACATAAATTGAAAAGAAGAGGACTCAAATGGGCTGCCTTATCTTACCCCTTTATTGGTCCAGAACTTATCGATAAATTTCCCTTCTGTCATCACTCTACACCTAGGTTTTTTGTAAATCATCTTTAAGTATATAATGATCTCCCCTTCAATTCCTAATTTTAACATAATGTTCCACAGCATTTCGCTGTTCACATTGTCCAAGGCCTCCTTCATGCAATGATGACATGAGCGTTATTCCTATGTAATTTTCGACCTTGTTTCTTTTCCCTCTCTTGTAAATTGGAATAATTACACCTTCTTTCCATTTTCTGGAATAACTCTTAGCTCAATTATTATAATGAATTACCTTTCAATAAGTCTTATCCCTTCTTCCTTAATAACATCGATAAATTATTCGAAATCATATCACAGCCTCCTAATTTATTTTCCCTTAATTCTTTGACAGCATTTCTCAATTCTTCCTTGTCTTTTTTCTTATAATTTTCTTATTCTTTACCATCCCTGGGCCGTCTCTAATTTCCACTTCCTGACCTTCAAATCTTTCCTTAATCCATTCGCACCATTTTCTCATGTTATTTCCATCATTCCATTTCCTATTATCCTCTTACCTTCTCCCATCACTCTCCTTAATAGATCCCATGCCTCCCTCCGATTGCAATATATACAGTCTGTATTTTATGAGTTAAGCGAATAAAACCTGTGTATATTTACAAAGATGTAAAAATAAATTCATTCGAATAAATGGGTCAAACGATATTCTGGAGGAAGCAGACGATGTAAGCTGTTGTTTGACATCTTACAAATTTGGAAATATTTATTAGAAAACTTTTTTCATTTGGTAAAAGATAACAAATGTTCGAGATATAAGTAAAGATATTAATTTGTTGCTTATATTATTTTTGTTGCTATGGACCTGTATTTACGTGAAAAACAAACATTAGTATCAAACGTTTTATTGAGTCCTAGATACTTCCCCCCACTCTAGTACCCACATTAGTTAAGTATAGAATTATTATTATTTATTATTTTTGTACAACTAAGACCCATTAAGGGCAAGGGCCTTTAAGGGCAAAGGGCCTCAGTTTTAAATAAATTCTGCAAAAATTTTCGAAAAGGTTGAGGAAAATGGTGAACGTTAGTCTCGAGGTTGATGTTTCATTATTATAATAAAAACCATAAAAACCTTTATTACATGCATACTGTTGGATAGACGAAGGTATAGACGTATTGATATTTTATATTGATTCATTCATCAATCGTGCAAAATGTTAATATAATTGAAATATAAGTGTAGAAGTTGCATTTAAATATTTCAAATCCTGCAAAAACGCTGCGCCAATTTCTTTAAAACCGCTTACTCATGACTACAAGCACATCCCCGAGGGACGTCCAGTACAACACAAGAATCCGACGCGCCCGCGTGCCAAGCCAAGCTTGCCAACTCATCGCTTCCGAAGATGATCATTCTAACCACTCGGCTGCGGTGAGACCGGTTCTGTATGTAATGATTCACAGGTTGTAACTTTTAAGACCACAAAATGGAAACGGTTTTATTAGGCGAGAAACTGATAGTTTTAATTTTTGGGTACACAGATAGTAGCTTTTAAAACCACAAAGTGGAAAATGAAATCTCACGCACAAAATTGAATTAATATTCTAATTTGGGGATCGTAAATGTCTTTTTTTTCTTCCCGTAACAAATCTTTGCAACTTTTTTGTCTCCGCAATAATTTTCTTTACGTCCTTGCATATACGTCCTTGCATATACGTCCTTGCATAATCTTCGCATCTAATATAGAACGAGAAAACCTTTTATAATTAATATTGTATTTTTATAGACTCCGTAAAAACAAAAGTGTGACTCTTTAAATGTATTTTAGTTTATATTTCTCTCTTTACGGCACCTTGAAAGAAAATCATTTTCATGTTACATTTTCAGTTCGGTTAATTTCTTAGTGGGAGGGAACGAGATGGCGACATTGCTTTTTTCTGTTAGATCTCCTTAAGGAGTCCAATTCTCAGGGAGCCAGAGTGAAGAAGTTTCCTTGGGAAGGAACAAAACCAACAATTTTGATTTGTAAGCTTGAACAATTGTTTGAAAACGGGAGCGGGAGATAAAAAGATAGCCAGAGAGGAAACGTGAGCGACAAGAAAATGAAAGCGAAAACAGCGGCGAGAATTTCACCCAGAACGACAGCAAAAAATATCGAAATGAGAACGAGAGCGAAAACGAGAATGAAAACGAGAGCTAGAGCGATAAAACTAGAGCGAGAGAAAAAGAATGCGAGAGCGAAAAAGAGAGCGCGAGCGAAAAAGAGAGCGAGAGAGAGAAAATGAGAGCGAGAGAGAGAGAAAATGAGAGCGAGAGAGAGAGTAAAGGAGAGCGAGAGAGAGAGTAAAGGAGAGCGAGAGAGAGAGTAAAGGAGAGCGAGAGAGAGTAAAGGAGAGCGAGAGAGAGAGAGAGAGAGTAAAGGAGAGCGAGAGCGGAAAAGAGAGCGAGAGGGGAAATGAGAGCCAGTGCGATATATATTAGAGAGAGAGAGAGAGAGAGAGAGAGAGAGAGAGAGGGAGGGAGAAAGCAAAAGCGAGAGAAAAGGCAAGAGCGGGTGAGAAACGAGAGATATTATAATTTTGATATATAACATGCTTAAATTTGTATTCCTCTCGTTATTTAATTTTTTCTTCTTCCCGTTGCCGAAGCAAGAAAGTTGAAACAGACAATACTAACGTACAACGACCGTCACTGTGCAGGAGCTGAGTGAATGTGGCGTTTCGCTGTGGAGGAGGCTGTGCCGCGGGAGCTTCTCGCGTTGCTGACGAAGTGCTGTGTCATGCGCGATAGCACAAACCTCAAGGACTTTGGTGGCGAGTCATCACTATCTTTATATATCACTACTGCAATACGATGTGCCAGTGAGCACCGGAATCTGCTACGGCATAGTTATGGCTTCTAAGCCAAAGCTTACGTACTTAAATATCCGTGGATTTGCTGAACCAATTAGATACCTGCTAGCTTATGCTAACATAGAATATGAAGACCGGCGAATTAATCCCGTGGATTTTCCGCAGGAAAAACTAAGTGAGTTTGCATATTTGTTTTTTTATTTACTTATTGCTAAATCTTGTTTTAAAACGCCTACTATTATTTTTAATTTATTTCATTTAATTCGAATGAGGTCAATTATTATAAAGTGGTTTTATATTTTAAATTCGTTTTAAAGTTAAAATAACTTTCATACATAGTGAATGCTAATGTTTTGATTCAATAGCATTTGTTTATGTTGTGTTATCTCACTCGTCCTTGAAAGACCATCACTTCACGAGAGTGATGAGTAATTGTAAGTGAGAACGAATCACTTGTAGACGTAGTATCGGTCATTAATTTTATAATGCTAATAATTAATTAAAATATTGAAATATGAAATTATATGGATAAAATTCCACAATATATTTTTTCTAACTTATTAATACAAGACGAAACAAAGCTTACGATACAGCCATTTCAAATTTTATAGCTAAAGCTCTCTGGAATCCAAACACCTACCGTTGCTCAAATGGACATTGAAACATATACATTCTTTAACTTGTTTTTAAAAATGAAAACAAGTGTCAAAATTAAAATTTACAATAGACGTGTTAATTTTCTTAAGCTGTCGTCTTTTCAGACATTGAAAATTAAATATGAGAGAGATATTTTGAATATATGTTTCTGTAATAGGTCTACCTTACGGACAAGTGCCAGTGCTCGAAATAAACGGGAAAGTGATCAACCAATCCAACGCCATCACGCGATTCGTAGCCTCGCTGTGCGGACTGACAGGCAGCGACGACTTCGAAGCGTTCCAGATTCACGCCATGGCGGACACAATTATGGACCTCAGAAATTGTTCGTACCGATTTATTGAAACCCTCATAGATAATATTAGAATGTGAACATACGGCTTAGAAAAAAATCTACACATACTGAATATCAAAAATGTTAGGCATTTGTTCACCAGTGCATTTCAAAATTTTATATTTTTCAGTTTTTGGAGACAGTTTTTGGAGACCAATTGAGCAAGATGAAGAACATGTGCAAGCACGAAAACAAGAACACCTTCGAAATGACATTATTCCTTTCTATTTATCGCGATTTGAGAAAACTGTCAAAGAAAATAATGGATACTTTGTTAACGGAAAGGTAAGATAGTGTATATTTTCTATTTCTCTTGTGTACTAATAGCAGAACAAGTAAATATATTTACCTCATCATTATAATTTCAAATCTGAATTAGTTACAAAATAAGTTCTCAGCATGGCAGCATGAATGAAAGTAGTATTAAAAATCTTGTACACTCAACCATCAATAGTAAGTCGGAATAATACAAAAAGCGATAAGTCCGGGTCATGTGTAAGAAAAAGTATTTAAGATAAGGATAAGGTAAAGATAAGATTAAGGTAAATTCTACGTTCGGAATATTTCTTACCATTTGTACCTGTTGAAAAAATTGCGAGCGTTTTACAATGACCTCCCGACAAAAATTACATTATCTAAATACCCATTTATTCTTAATAGTGTTGCCCATTCAATTGACAAAATTTTTATGTAGTTACCGCGAGTAAGAGCAAGGTTGGTTCTTTAAAAATTGTTTACATGGCTATTATAAAAGAATTTAAATTTTATATCCATAATTACTGGTTCATAACAAATATACTCGGATTTGAGAACCAGGTTTTTTTTAACATTTGTTTTAGATGCGAGAAGTACAAAAGCATTTGGAAACCTGGGAATAATTAAAGCAACATTAGCTATTATTCTACAGGATATATTCACGTTTTCTTCTTTTTGCAAGTTAGTTTAAGAGCTCTGTGTTGTTGCAGCTGAGTTATGCAGATGTCATGTTCGCAGCGTTAGAACTGCATTTTTCCAACTGTCTCGAAGAGGATATCACGAGCAGCTATCCCGTCCTTAAGGAACTTGTGGAGAAAGTAAATACCATCCCACGCATTAAAGAATGGATAGACAATCGGCCTATAACTGAATTTTGATGGGCAATTTTACTGTTAAATAAATGTTTTGTTTTTCTTAAAAATTGTTTTTTTAAAAAAACATCCAGTTTCCTCATTTGCAATCTGGTCATCCCTACAAGCTTGTATTTCCCATCTTTATTGGAAGAATTTCTGATATTCAATGCAAATTTTTCAACTAAACCCTTTGACAGAAATTATTAAGTTTTATTTCTTATAAAAGTATTATTTTTCAGGTTGGCAGATCGTGAAATTTCGATTATGTAGTTTATTTTAATTATCAAGAGATTTCTGAACTTGTGTATGCTATTTAACAATTTCTGTAATGAAGCATAAAATTTAAATAATGGATAAATTTAGATCTTTCGCGCGAGTTCATTTGTTATATTCTACATCAAATCAAACAATGAAGGACAAATTAAATTATCGGCACACAATACCACAAAAATTGACAGAAATGTGCGGAAAATAGTATCAGTTGACAAGAATTTTTAAAGAAGTCATTATGAACAAGCGGAACTCAGAAGAATATTTTGCAGTTAGTATAAATCATTGTTTTAAATATAAAATTAACTGGAAATACTGGACGATCATAGAATAAGGGTTATATTTACGAATTTCGTTCACTGAATCTCGATACCGTTCATATTCCACTCATCGAACTTGATTGACTGCTCTAGATGGCCAGGAATCGACGCAGAAATCAATCATTTGTTCAATGCTTATTCTCTAAATTATTTTATTATTTAGAATAAATTTGACGCGCTTCGTGCCTTGCTACTGCTAGAATTTCTGCTTAATTAAACGAAACGGAAAGTAAACCTCACACCGAGAATTGAGCAGTGGCGGTCGGCGAATTAAATTTAAGGGTGTTACAAAAGCAATGGTCGTAAAGGGGCGGGGGTCTCCCTCATTAATATTTCATGATTGATTAATTCGCACAATTATTAAAATTGTTTAAGAACATTTTACCTTGAATTCAAAAATATTTTAAAAATACGTGTAAAATTTAAAATATTTTAAAACAAGTGCAAAATTTATAAACATTTAAAAATAAGTGTAACATTCTAAACATTTTAAAATAACTTAAAACTACTAATAAAGAAAGAACGATATATAAATTTTTCCTTTCCATTTAAAAAATCTGATTATAAATTGTCTCGAATTGTCTCCATAAATTGTCTCACCTACGTGTGACAACGCAATGACTCCAAGACGCGCTGTCGCTCCGAAATCGGGCTGAGGTGAACGTCATACCCGACAGGTCGGCCCACACGGCACGCCCGGCATATCAAATTCCTTTCGATGTACGCCACGACTGATAAGTGGACGTTGGGCGACTGCTTTTGTGCGGTGAAGGGACACGATGTCTACTGTGCTACTGACTGTTACGACCCGACCAGACAATTTGTTAAGAAAATTAATATTCATAAAATTGATAGCCAGTCTTGAAAAATAATGATTTAATTTCTAATTTATTAGATTATATTTATTCAGTCAAAAAACAGTAAAAACTGTATGTGACGTAGGGAGGAAAAGATTATCTGCGCACGTTTTCTTGAGTTCCAGAATTCCTTCCCGTCATTTTAACTATAAATAGTTGAAAGACGAGTAAAAGTTTAACATAAATAAAAATAAATTTTAAAAATCGCAAGATAAGCAATATTTGAAAAATAGTCATTTTCGTTTCTGAGTTATAGGAATTGTATTTCCATCGGTACACGAATTGCAAGTATGATTTGTTTGCATTGCTAACAAAATAGCAACTCGCCCTTTACCTCTACTCTTACCATTACAAGCAAAAGGAGAGTTCAGCAAAACGTGCGCATAGTGAAGCTACATTAACATCCAGAAGCAAAACAAGGGGCCATCTCAGCATTTGCACAATGGATCAGGGAAACGGGACAAAAACCTGATCGAGATGGGAGTCATTGACCCAGAAGCTGGAGTACATTATTTGTTACAACATATTAAGTCTTTAAAAATAAATTATACAATACAAATGTAAAGTAATTCATTACATATCAATGTTTTTTTAAAATAAACATTATTTTTCTTTTTGATAATTGCTTTATATTACTTTTGAACTTGACCCTTCTGAACGTACGAGTATAGTCTCCATGATCCAATAGTTTAATTAGGCAACATTCGGAACGATAATCTATTATCAATTTTATCAATCTATCCAGAAATTCGTAAATTTTAATCTTACCTTGTTTACTTGAGTTGAAAATCAAATCGCCGATTTTTCAGACGAACAAATTTCTCATCACTAACTCATTGGAGATGCTGGTTTCACGGATAAGTAGCTTCTCTACTAGTATTTGACCGGAGTGCGATGGCGCACGATCGCTCGGTTGTCATTATATTTCAATGAAATGAAAAACTCAAGAAAACGTGCGCAGATTATCTTCTCCCTCATACGTCACATACAGTTTTTTACTGTTTTTTGACTAAATAAATCTAAATCTAAATGTTTTTATCCATTTCATTGTTGAAAATGATCGTTCAGTTTCTGAAGAAGACATTGAAGTGGTGAGAAGAATCCGAAGACGTTTGCAGACTTGTGGAAAAATTTCTATCGACATTTCATTTTGAAGTAATAGTACCGCTCATGTTGGATTTCTAAATTCGCTTCTCTTGTACGTTCCTTAGAACAGTTTTCTGTACTGAATTGGACGTAGATTTTTAATGCACTGTCAATGGTACTAACAAAATTCACTAACCCTCAATTCTACCTCCGAACATGTCTCCATATTTCTCCTCGTTCAAACCAAACCATTTAATTCAAATTATATTTTTAGCATCTCAATTTTTAAAAAAATCCTCTTTGGATCGTGGTGTGTGAAGAGTTTCTTGAAATAATTAGTTCATACTACTGCTGATGTTATAATATATTATATTTCTCATTTATGTTCTATTAAGATTTTGTTTCATTTCATTCATACAATCTATTAGTTTATTTCAATTCTATTATTTCATCAATAATATTTTTCGACCACGTAGTTAGTTATTATTGTTATTAATAATTTAATTAATTATCACCTGGTTGTATTTTATTAAATAGAAATTGCTCGGTTCCGGTACCGATACCTTCGTTGAACGATGTTCTCATTTTATTCGATTTCTTAGGGAATCAATCCTTTTCTTCCCATTCGATTCTAGAATAGACTCCAACTTTTCAAATCGATTGGAACGTGGAATTGGAAATTGACGAGTAGATCGACACCCAATCCCACGGTCCAGATACAGATGGGACATCAAAAAAACAAACAAAAACATCGATGTTTGTTAACATCGATGTTCAAAATTAAAACATCGATGTTCAAAATACATCTAAACTAAAACCCATCTATGTTTTACTCCATCAATGTTTTTAGACTGCTTTGATAACATCTAATATTAAATTCGCGAGCTTTAATATATAATTTGAGTGTTCGTGTTTATCAGGTCGTCGAATGAGGGTATGAGAAGAAGGGGCAGACCCCATAATTAATTGTGCTCACATCTAATTGTACGAAATGAATGTGACGAAAGAAAAAATTCAATGGCATGAAGATCATCTCAGGCGAGTTTGTTTGATCGATGAAGGTAGTACAAACAGCGTTCCTCTGGTTCCAACACATGATCTAACAGTGTTATCATCTGTTATTATTTCTTATTTTAACTTTATTTTACAGTATTGTGATCATGGGACTTTTTCATTCAGAAACAAAACATCGATGTTAAAAAACATCGGCGTTAAGACAATGATGTTTAAAATATAGATGCTTCAACAAAAACATCGATGTTTTAAGAACATCGACGTTGATGTCGTATCCCTAGTTCCACCTGGAGCTACAGAGGTGGTACATCACCACCAATCGCCTGGATATAACATTCATTACACATTCACAACTAACGGCCATATCAATTAAAACCCTAGAAACACTAAATAATAAGTGAATAGTGAATTTAACAGTTTTCCAGTCACTTTCATTTAATACTGTTTCTCAGAGTTCAAGAGTGCCATGTGTTGAAATCAGTTGCACCGATCCTGAATCGCACACAACATTAAATCTCTTACTTGATTTTCCAACACAAAATGTTAGGGTTTTGAAGAAATGTTCTATAAAGTTGATTCTTTAATATTTTTTTCCAAAAATAGAGCATCATATAACAAAGTTGTGACGAGACGCAGATAAACAAGTTTGTTGAAGACAGGTAACTATGCTATATACTTAAGTAAAATGCCATAAACATTATGAAATATATGATCTATAAAGAGCACGCCCATATACGATAAGACAATGGGTTATCACTTCATTTATATCACATACAAGTCCCAGAAACGACAGTACTTTACTGAATCAGCTTCGCTGCTGATAGTTTTGACATGTCTGCTAAACCAAAGCTCACGTATTTCGACTGCCGAGGATGTGCGGAGCCTATCAGATACCTGCTCGCGTTTTCGGGCATAGAATATGAAGAGAAGCGTGTCCACTATGCAGATATTCACTACGTAAAATCTTGTAAGTTTGATGCTTTATTTCATTTCATTTTGAATAACAGATTATTTACGTCGAATACGTTTTGATGCGAAACGTCTTTAAAATCCGTTGTTTATCAAAGCGACGTAGAATAAACGCACTTCAACAAGGGCAACTACACAATTAGACGGGAAGACATGTTTAGCGTGTTAACACATACTAAGTAAGACATTCGGCATGTTTAGCATTTTATGTTTGCAAAGCGCTAATAAACACAGTAATTTGTGTGTTTGGGTACTCTACGTCTGTACTATTTTTATATAGGAAGGTCCTGCTGAGATCTTTGAAAGGCAAACATGCCGAACAATAATGAAACTATTTTTAATAATTCTTTACTCAGAGCTCAAATCAGCTTCTCCAACAAGTCTAAGACATTCCTTGTACCTTATGTGGATGCATCCCTTTCACAACTAACTCGAATTTGACTTCATTACTGTAATTTGATACGATGTAACTTGTACTATAATTATTACGATTAAGGATATTTTATAGAAAATATCCAAATTGAAGTTTTTGAAAATAAGCCATGTTATATTAATACATTGTCATGATGTAATAAAAATTGTATTGCCTTAACGTCTTATTTGTTATAGGGTACACTCGTATTAAAAATGTTAGCTTAACGCAAAATGTCTCTAATAAAAAAATATCAAACAACGTTTATATAAATAACAATGCTGAATGTTAGCACTCCAAAAAGCCTGATATCATTATGTTCTTTGCCACTATCGCGGTTGCTGTCTGCAAGTTGTCAATCGTCACAGATAAGTCTCTGGCTCGATAGCTCACAAGTATTTTATTCCCTCAATAGGCGTGGCGCAATATACAGCGGTCGAAAGATGACATCTCAGGCCATTTCTGAGTCCAATTCGATATTGATAATGTAATCTATTATTTTGTCCCTGCATAGCAGCTAAGTAGTATTTATTGGTTGGTTTTTATGTTTTACTAGGGTCAATAAATTTAGACGACTCAATGTCATTTTCAAGGTTTTCCCATACACGTCGTCTATCCATTTCCTTTTCTGCAATTTTTTAACTTTAGCGTCTGCGTATTGGGCAAGAAAAATAAGAATGGTGATCAAGGAGAAGGGGTGAGAAGGGAGGGGAAATGATCCTCATAAATAATACAACGTTTTGGTATTTACAGGTTTTCCTTACCAACAGGGACCTGTTCTTGAAATAAATGGAAAAACCATTAATCAATCCAACGCCATAGCCCGTTACATCGCCAAACTTGGTGGGCTGACTGGCAGCGACGATTTTGAAGAGCTGCAGATTCACGCCTTCGTCGATACCATCAACGATTTCAGAGACGGTTCGCACCATTTTTCTCTTCCTTACAAATGACTTGAAACGCGTTCGCGGACAAGCAGGAAGGATTGATGAAAATGTAAATATATTTCTTCATATGGACATTGAGCTATCCTATTAAATTTATTTTCCTTGATATTCTTAGTCAACTCTAACAAACAGAAACGGCTATCTATAAATTAATTAACTATCCGACATATTTTTAAATGTATTACCTCACTCTAAATAAAAGGGAACTTCTGAAGTAAATAAAAGTACAATCTTGGCACAATCGTAAGCAATTTTTTGAAGATGATTAAATAATTAATTCTAATTATATTACTTTATCGTCCAGAAATAAACTTTTTCGTTTTTACGTTTATACATTATATTTTTGAGCAATATACCGCAACGCACACAATATAATTTTCTATGAGAGCCACGCCTGCTGTCATCGCGCCATCGCTCTTGAGGGCACCTCATGAAACCGAAACTCTGGAGACGGAAATTGGCCATTCAACTTCACTATAAAGAAAATAAGAGAAGTTTGGGAGAGGGTCGCTTCATACAGCATTCCACAAACTAAAGTGCTACACACACGAAACGCATTGTCGGAAACCACGTCGTCGTCGCATTTCATTCATATTGACTGGTTCAAAGGAAAACACACCATCGAATCTCGTCACTTCTCTAACTGGCTTAATGAGGCCCTTGAAGCTTCCTTTTGTCCGTTATCTCTAAGTGAGTGGGATTTGCAATAGGTCTGTTAAGCCGAGGAAATAAAGCAATCGTAGCAATGAAAACATTCATAACTGATCTATAGTATATTCTAGAATCTAATTAAATTGGTGCAGTATACTGTCGTCCATGGGCCATTTACCACGGCATGTGCATGGCATGTGAGACATTTTCTCGCCCAAGCATCCTTCCTTCACTCAAAAATAATGTCTCTAATTTTATCGTCAGGTGCAGTGAGCATCGCCAACTAATTCTGAATTTAACTACCATAAATTCCAGTATATAACACAAAAATTTAGTCCAATTATTTTAATGTAATATAATTTATTACTACTTATTTAAATGGGTGGGGGAGTGGTCCCAAGCTCTTCGTAATTATTTAGGGTGTCCATGCGCGCACTACAGATGGGTTATTAGAGGAAATGGGGTATTCAAAATGCTAAAAATCCGAGTTACGTAATTTATGGGCAGTCTTTAAGCACTCGATGGTACTCGTAGTAAAGGGAAATGAACCGAAAGGAATTGCTCGTGAGCTTCCGCGACTCGAGTTCATGACTCCTTGGCTGTCCGAATGACCGCGCGCCGTTGGCTGAGAGGCCTCTCAGACAACGACGCGGCGTCATCTGGACAGCCAAGAAGTCGTGCACCGAAAGGAACGCGCGCATGCCAAAAGTAATAACACAAACTCGCTGGTTTTTGCAAATAAGAAAGCGAAATAAAATCAAGAAAAGAAAAAAAAGGGAATCTGAAGCACGCAAAAAACTGATGAATAATAATATAACTCAAGTACTTCAGAAAACAAAATTCAAGAAACCGAACTATGTTAGTTTCCAATCCATTAATAGTTGCATATGGATGTGGTTTTGGAGTTCTCATGATCTGATCAAACACCACAGAATTTTTAAGGAGGGGTACTTTGACAAATCAATGTGATGAAAGTGGTAATGCGAGTTCCACTGTAGGTTTCTTTCTCAAATCTTATTCTACAGAAGCTGATGGTCATCTTGATTGTAATAATAAACTTCATTATAGTTCACTGTGATCCTTAATACAGGTCTCTCTTTATGAAACACCTCTGTTGTTCTTTAGCAATTGTCGATTGTTACTGGGGCCCGTCCAATGAAGATCAATCCAAAAAGGAAGAAAAGCTGAAGAAGGAAATTCTTCCTTTTTATCTCAAGCGCTTTGAAAAGGCCTTGAAGAATCATAATGGTTACTTTGTCAATGGAAAGGTGAGTAAATTTGGTCATTGGGGAAAAAATTGTTTTGAGGTTTCACACAGTCATGAAAATAATTCGTTTAGAACTGAAAGGCAAGTTTAAAATAGGATATATACATCTAAATTTCGGCATGATGTCTCCTATTAAATTATAAAAAATGTCTAGCTGATAATTTGTTGTTTCCAGAATTATATTTGTATTCAGACAATAATAAAATATTGTAAAACGCCCATGTCGAATAACTGACTCTTTTTAATGCATTTAATACGTAAATAAGTGTTTTAAATATTAAATTTATTTTCTCAAATTTTCTACTTCTTTCGTGATTTGCATTTATAAGTTTCAAGGAAATATTTTTTATATCTTTCACAACGAACTCATAAAAATAATTCTGAAATATTCAAGTTAAGTCACTATCTGTAAGAGCTGTAGACTTCACTGCCCTTGTCTGCTTCTACATTTGCAATAGTCAGCTCCCGGGTCGACCGATGTTCTGAGCAGTCTCTGGTCGAGGTGACTAATACCTCAATTTACTCCTTTAATACGGGTTAAATGGTACAAGGTCATAACATGGATATCAATTACATCGCGGAACAAACCTTCCGTTTTGGATGACAGCCATTAAGGTGGCAAGGTGGTGACACACCCGAGGTAATAGGCCTCAGAGGCTAATTACTAGTTAAATAAATATGACTAAAACAGGAGAACCGCGTTCGATTCCCGTTCATAGAAAATTATGTTTTTAACTATTTAGTACAGAATACTTGATGTGGTGGTTAATTAAATATGTCATTATGTTTACAGTTAAGTTACGCAGACATCATTTTCGCTGGATTAATACAAAATTTCTCTGATTGTGGCCAAGACGCCATCATAAATGGATATCCTCATCTAACGAGTCTCGTGGAAAGAATAAACAAAATACCCTCTATCAGAGCGTTGGTTCACAAAGGGCCTAGCAGCAACAACTGATTTTTGTAATAAATTTTATACGTATAATATAACTTAAAACATACTATTTTTTTCTTCTTTCAATTCCTCATTCTTGTCCTCTTTCACCCTTATTTCAATTATTCACAGCTCAAAATATTTAATATGACGTTTACAACACAATGTTTATGATACCTACAACGAAATCACAATTGTTAAAGAACAAATCGCCATCAGTATCAGTTACAATATCGCGTATGCATAAAACTTCCCTTTTAAGTGAAAGGAAATTTTACTCATTATAGACTACAAAAGTGTCCACGTACTATCATTTTATTGCTCAATGGAGAAAAAATCCTATATATGGATGTAAAATGACTAAGTATTGCAATTGTCAAAAAAGTGATATGAACATTGAAACTAGCGGCTTCTTTACCCGACCGTTCGTATGTGCGCATATTCACGTCATGAGCTATTTTGTAAAAGACTTTGAAACCATGAATTTGGTATCATTAACGGCTGGCGGTATTACATTATGTTTCCGAGTTACTGGTTTTCAAAAAGGCGGCAATTCGACTTGTTTTATACATTTGATTTTAAAAATTCAATTACATCGTTACGAAGAAACGTTGTTTTAAAATCTGGTCGATTTTCAAATTGTCCTGTTTTAACATTCAGTTAATGAAATAATTACATAAATAAAAATATTTGTGCAAAGAAGCCGTCCAGTACATACTCCTTTTCAATTTTAATGCATACAGTTTTCAAAATAAAATAGGGAAAATACATGCTCATTTACTATGACAATAATAGTCACCAGCCATAGCAATTGACAAAAACAGCTATACAATTGACAAAAAAATCACACGGTAAACATTTTGAAACATTTTTACAAAATTTGAATAAATGGTGCGGGATAGAAAATTCACGTTTTTTGTATTTTAATAATTAATAAATAGCTGAAAATAAAGATTTTTTCGAGGCGCGCAATTAGGTTACGCTGTTTGAGTTAGTAGGGTTACAAGGGGCGGTAACCGCCCTAGCACTTTTACGCAGGAAGTCTGCAACGCGCGCACGCACGAGCATTCGCACGCTTCGGAACTCGATGTCTGTGGAGGCAGAAGTATTAAGTGGTCCTGGCCGCGACGCGCGCTTACGATGATTATTATGGAAAGCGTTGTCACGTTCCCGAATATCAGACCCGTTTGTAATTTGAACATTACTTGAGAAATTCATGAAATTAAGGCAAAGGTTTATGGTAAATTCAAAGGGTACTTACTGAACTAGTAATTAATAACTTATTTGAAAATCAATATTACATTACTACTCAGCAGAAAAAAATTAACAAAAATAAATAATTTTTAATATTGGAAAATGGACTCCTAATATGAGACAAATTATAAAATGTACTGAGTTGGCCGAGGAAATTTTCCCCTTAGCATTGGGCATGAAACGGGGTGGACTCGGCTCTGGCATAATCGGGAGATACGACGAGTTAAGAAGAATTCCAGACTGTTCCAACCAGATATATCAATATGGAACCAGATTGGCAACGCTGCCTCTGCTAGTGAAGCCAAGTTGGAAAAGATAAGATTGCAGCGCGCGCAATTCTGGACTTATATGACTATCAATGGCATTGGAAATATAGTTTTATATTAAAGAATATTTTTTGCTTGAACTTAATTTGATTGCCAACAGCAATCCGTATTATACAAAATGAAAAGATCAATATTTTATAATTTATCAACGTAATAATTACTGTAAATTACGTTTTAGCACCTACAAAATTGCGATCTTGTTTAATCATGTGACAAGGAACCTGATATACCACATTTTTCATCCAACGTACGGAGTTGAGACATTTAAAGTTTTCAATGCCACTTATTTGTTACCTTTGCTCGTAAGGAATCCGCCTCACTGATTTTGAATCGTACCATCAACTGTTATAGAGGTAGTACTTCTAATTTTCATGATTCAACTATTTAATGATCGAAATAAATAAGGTAGATACAGTTGTTTTCTGTACCGCTCAAAAATGTGTAATACGTCAGGTATTAAACAGAACGCAATTGAAGTTATGGAAACGCAATGCGTACTACTTCAGAAGAATATTTCAAATGTCATTCGCTAAAGGAAATCTTGGAATGTTTAAAATAAACCCATACATCAGACAATGGTTCACTTTGTTGCAAAATAATCACTCGTGTCTCTAAACTAAGTATGAGAATACAACTCAACTGCCTTGCACTTACGTACAACGCCTCAGAACGGGGTGACAGTAAGTCGCGTCGCTTCTTGGCTTCAGTGCTACGCTTCAGTGCTACGCTTCAGTGCTACGCTTCAGTGCTACGCTTCAGTGCTACGCTTCAGTAGCATTCAGCATAGGTATTCTCCCCCTTCCTCCCTCTCCCTCCTCCCACCCTTCCTTCTCTCCCTCCCTCTCCCTGTCACCATCCCTGTCCCCTATATAATGTGTGTGCTCGTGTGCGTGCGTGTGTGTGTGTGTGTGTGTGTGCGTGTGTGGGTGTGTGAGGGTGTGTGTGGGTGTGTGAGGGTGTGTGTATGTGTGTGTGGTTCCAACTCACCCCTTGCACGCGCCCTTTGAGCTGTGGGTTCCAGGGATAGCGCGCACACCACAGGCACACCTTCGTTCTCCCCGTGTCTCGCTGGCGCCCGCTCAGGGTTTCTTTATTGTTTGCAGAAACGTAAAAAATCCATAATACTCATAGTACACACCATGTTTTGTGCTATGTATAATCGACTGATATGACTTAGATTATGAATACAAAAGTTGAATTACGTATTTGATTGAACGTATTCAGTTTAAGGATTGAATTTAATTTTTTTAAAGATTAGGAACTGTTTTTACATTACATTGCATTAACTGCGATTCATGATCCCAGAGATATGAGAGAACGTCCTCTTGTTCAACACATAAGATTATGATAAAAAAACTATTATGCTTGTTATTTTATTCTGAAAACATTATGTCATTTCCTCATGTGTTGCAACTGAGATGAGTATCACGTATCTATGAAAAGTCATACTGATATCGATCTAAAGTTGGGAAGTGATTGTATTAGAATGCAGGTATCACCAGGTCTGCACAGACGCATGCTGATACAGCACACAGATATGAATGTTCTCAACCAGTCACCCACTAAGCATTTTCTAACCAGTCATGCATTAACATTTTTACTATGTAATTCATTAACTTTGACAGAAACCAAAAATGATTCTCACAACAGCAATCGAATAAAATGTTAAAAAAACATACAGATTTAATTAGTATCAACGTTTCAAAAATTGCAAACATTATGTAAGAGTGGACTAGATAGGTAAAATCTACATCAATAACATTTATAGTTCTTTGCGTATTAATAACTTATCGAAACTACTGCTGATACAAAATGACAAATACTTTCTTGAGCCAGTTAATTTCCTATTATTTTTAGTCTGGGCTAGCTGTTCGATTTTGCCTGACCTTCTCCCCAGCTACATATCGGCCCCTGAAAAACATTTTTATATTTTCGGTTCCCTAATAGCAGAATTGAAATACGACTGTAATGTTATTACAGAAGAGTAAAACTTGGACATCCTGTAGAACGACGCTAATCCGAACTAATTGGGAGTGTGGTCTGTTCGGATTATCTGAAAAAATGTACCGTACATATACAAATTCATCTATAGGATTACCAGACATTGCGACGTAGCATAGCGATCGCATCACCACATCGCATCAACAAGCAGATTCAGTTCCATACGGCAAAAGAAGATTAGCGATTTAATAAGTTCCTCTACGTGAAAATTACTGACACTTAAACATGTGATATACATCGTACTTACTAGTGCAATAACCGTTTTATTCGACAACTTGTGTTTCAATTATTAGTTGTTCCGTTCTACAGTAATTATAAAATCCTTTCTTTGCACTACAAATAAGCATTCTATTTATTTTGTTTATTTTTCCTCCATACCAAATTTTGTTCAGGTTATTCGAAATTTCGGATTTTCCGGGTTCGCATAAGTGAGGTTCTACTGTATTTGCAAATATCTATTCAAAACTTTACACCTCTTTTTGAGAATATGTCATTTGAGCGTTTCTGAAAATGCGCAATTTTGAACTCGCTTTCAAAGAATTATTTTCCCCAGAAACTTCATAAGATATCATTTGAAGTTCTTGTTATGTTTATTGCAATAATGCTGGATAAAAAACGTCGATGTGAGAGTTATTTTTAAATGCATTTGTGTAACTGTTGAAAAAATAAATAATACATCAAAATGGTGTTTGTATCTTGGTAATATCAGATTCGTTTAATGTTACCTTTGGAAAGTGGTAATGAAGTAATGGAAGAAACAGTGCCCCCTGAACAACTTCAGACTCTAAATTGTTAGTGACATTGTACAATCTGAACAAAAAAGCATTCGAAATGCAATTCGATAATTGACAGACATTTAAATTTCAGAGAAATAGAAGAATAAATTCTTCCATATTTGTATAATTTTGAAACAATGAGGAGGTGGGGGAAAAAAACCAAATATTTGGTGCTATCAACTTTCAAAAACTTTCAAATTTAGTGTTTTATTTCTGCTTTTGTGGATGTTTGTATTGAATTATCTTTGTTGTAGCGTTCACGTACTCAAAATATCTCTGCAATTGTCAGATTTTTCTTTCTTAAACCATTATCACTATCAAGTGATATATTCCCACCTTTCTTTACTAGAAGGTATACCTTACATGTGTATGGCATACTATGGGGTCAAGTGCAAACTGTGCACGTTTTAAGGAGCTATGATTTCCTACCCTAACTCACCGGGTGAGATGGCTCAGGGCATCAAATGATGTCACTGCAGTCTCTCTGACCAGGAGGTCCTACGTTTGAGTCCCGACGGTCGCAGGATTTTCGCTACTAGCTTGTCAGATAGGTCGAATTCACTGTCTGGAGGAGAATTCTAGCGGCCGACTGCTCTGATGGGTAGTTTTCCGTGCTTTCTCCGAACAACACCAGGCGAATGCCGGAGCAGTATCCTACCAAACAGGCCACGGGCCGCGTGCGATCTTTCCTACCCCTTCCTTATCCTATCCTCTCCCCTTACACTAACACGCACTACGCAAACACACATGCCGAGAGACCGGTCGGGAGCTCGGGGCTTGTCCCGGGTGGGGCACAGCCCCACTGGTGGGAGATACTTGGTTGAGGAAAACCCCAGTGTATGGCGCCGGATCTGGCCACCTCCCGAACAAAAACATGTACTACACTTACGGGAAGAATGACCCAGCTAGTTGACGTGCCCGGAATTACTAAAAAAAATGAAATCTACCATAACTCATTTTAAAATTTATTGTAAAACTTAGAAGTTCCCAGAAAATCCTAATTTTAATAAATTTAAACACGGAATATACGTTATTTTCCCGAGAATAATGTTTTGAGGTAATGAAGAACAAGTTATATCAAGAGATGGTTCACTATTTCGTGTACCGTCCTCTAGCAGCAACGAGGGTAGTAATACGTGCTTGTTATCTATTATAAAATTAATCAATAATTGAATGATCATGATACGAAATTAAATATCATATCACTAGGTGGCTCAGCTACGAGGGTAGGTGAGACCGCATACAATGGTCTTAGTGCTCAGTGAAGAGTGAATGATCTGCTGATTTAAATGGTCAGGGAAGTTTACGAATACTTTAACGAAATTTTTAGAATTAACCAATTTTATGAAGGTGTTATTTCCTCAAAAATCTAAGCAAAACTACTCTATTGATACTATTACTTTCAACATATCCATCAGTATTTTATCCTGTGTGCATACGATAAATGAAATTTCTTTTACATATTGCGCAATATATGGCTTATCTTCGAACGTGAAATCTTCTGAGGAAGCAATCCGCAAGTCACTACGGCGCTTATATAAACTCGTCGCACATCCAGGACTCAGAACACCACGTTGCTACCGAAGGCAGATCAGTAGCAACTAGCGCCATGGTCGCCAAACCGAAGCTCAGGTACTTCGATGCTCGCGGAACCGGGGAGCCCATCCGTTACGTGCTCGAGTACGCGAATATCGAGTATGAAGATGAACGAATTTCAATGGAAGACTTCGTCAAGATAAAGCCCAGTGAGTATATTGACATTAGTGCACCTCTGCGCCTTTCCCCTTCATACTTCCTGAAGTAGGCATTGGGGTAGAACAACGTGTGTTTTACATCAAACGACATTTCAATTCTAAATTTTTGAATAACAGTGAAGGTTATAGTTTACAGAACCGATTATCGCTATATGAACAATCTATTGCCTTGAATGTTACATGTGCACTTTACTACAACACGCAACTAATGTGAGGAACGTAAAGTTCTTGCGGGGTGCCACATACAAAAGTATTTGTAAATATTATAAAGGGCATTACTACAGTTTAATTCATAACCGTAATATCTAATTTTCAGTATCTAAATTTAATTTTTAATCAGTAATTATTACTCATGACTTGTCCAGAAAAGAACAGTGTGAGTGCATCAAATAGTAGTTTGTACGCAGTGTTGAATTTCTAATTTATTGATATATTTTCAGCCTTACCGTTTGGTTTACTACCCGTTCTGGAAATCAATGGAAAGGTTATCAATCAGTCAACGGCCATCTGTCGTTATTTTGCCAAAAGGGCTGGGTTGGCCGGAGGTGATGAATTCGAAGCTTTGCAGATTGATGCTGTTGCCGATTCCATTGTGGATCTGAGGAATGGTGAGTATTCCCGATCTGTCAAGTATTGTGAATATAAAACCTTACTGTTTCTGCCATAAAGTTTCCATGTAATTAAAAACAATCAACGCGTGTTTCCAAATATTATTCGTACTAATAAAATTTGAAAGAAAATACGAATTCCTTAAAATAGCCTAAAGAATTTGCGTGTCAATTGGTGTATCAAAAATAATGTTTTAAAAAGTAGACTATGCATGATAATGGAAGTATTACTTAGATACCAATAAAAAAAGACTAGTAAACAAAAACCCACGTCTTGCCTTTAAAAATGAAAATATTTGTTTCAGCCTTCGTCAATTATTTTTGGCGGACTCCAGAAGCTCAAAAGCCCAGCACTTACGAAACACTGAAAAAAGAAAATATCCCAGTTTATCTCTCTCAGTTTGAGAAGATCCTAAAAGAGAATAACGGTCATTTCGTTAACGGAAAGGTGAGAATTGAAGACGTGTCACGTAGTTTCGTTTCATTTTCGACATAATTTGATGGTAAATTGATTCAATTAACGTTTAAGTCACTGATAAGTACATATTTGGAATTTTTGCCTAATAAAATAATAATTAGAGACATAATGAGTTAATGAATACATTATGATTAATAATTCCATTTTTAAATTACATGCGTGCAAGATTATTATTTTGATATGTAAAGACGATTAAAAATAATGTATAATTATTATAAAAGTTATTCAAGTTTGCATAACATATGAATTACAAAAGTTATTCACGTTTGGATATCAAGTTCATCTTTTAGGAAAGCTCGTATGCTTATAGTATTGATAAGGATTGTAACAAGCCTCAATCTTACGAAGTGCCTAATTAAAATTGATCAGCCTGTTTAAAAATCATCCATTGAATTTTAACACTTGACGATTTGGTGTGTCTTACTAATTTTTCAAGGCAACATGATAATTTGTATAGCTTGTCCAACACTCAAAAAACTTTTGAATGATTTGAGCTTTTGAAACCATGATTGAAAACGATATAAAAAATACTTAATTTCGTGACTGATGAAAGCATTTTTCTTCACAGCTCAGCTACGCTGATCTTCTGTTCGCTGGAACTGTCGAGTATTTCAACAACATCATAAAATTTGACATGACGGAAGGCTACCCATTGGTGAAGGCGCTTGTGGAGAAAGTACATAATATTCCTCGCATCAAGGCATGGATAGCCAGGCGACCACAGACATTCCTTTAAAACTGTATTTTATTTTTTTAAATAAAAATGTTATATTTTTACATTGTATTATTTGATTACTTTTTAATATTTTCTTTCAAATGTTTGATTAGGGGACATAAATGTACAATTGTATATATACATGTATCATATAAATGAAGACAATTGTCCCTCTTGTATATTATTATGCATTGTACGTACGTACGCTGGCGCATAATTTCAAATATGAGCGTACGGTTTCTCACCTTGATTTGTATAGATCGTAGAGAATTTTTGGATGAACATTAAATGCAGGTGAACTTTACTTTCAAACCGCCGGACATGGCTTTTTGGACGCATTATCGATGTCTCTGAGCGGGAGGTCGTAGGGTTGGCGTTCAGACGGTGTCGAATTTTCGATACCGGGTATTTATGTCGAATTAATCTACTGTCGTGGTTGAATTGCGGTTGGCTTCTCGAATCACCATTTCCCGTTGTTCCTCCGATCAATAACAGTCGAATAGCGGAGCAGTACCTTATCAAACGGACCAGGGAGCGCGCACGATATTTCCTTCCTCATCCTTGACCCCTTATCTTCCCTATAGATACACAGTTACGTGCATTACACTGTCCGCACGTATCGACAGCTTTGAGCTTGTTCCGGCCCGCTGAAGACAAGCCCTGGAGGATGAAATCGCGCCAGAGGGCGTTTTTGTCGCTGGATCTCATTTTCTATTGAGAGAGGAACATAGGAACTTTCCGGAATAAAACATTGACTACACTTGTGGGATTGATGACAATATCAGTTCACGCTGTCGGGAACAGTAAATAATCAATCACATCAAAATAGTCACAAAAATTGTCGCACTTTCTCGTTTATTACTTACGTATTACTTAAGAAGGTATTGAAAAAGCTAAAGCAAAAAACAGCAATTTTGCGACAGAAAATCTCGTTTTCCCCCCCTCATCATTACAGTACTGTCTTTACACTACGTAAGAAGAATGCGAGATAGTAAAACATGCCATTTTACAGAAAAATGTTTTACAAAAAACAATTTTGAAGCTATTTTTGAGAAAAGTTTGAAATGATGAAGAATTCATGTTAAGTACCCCCACAAAATCAAAATATCAGTTTCAAACTCGCAGGGCTTCGAGTTTCTCTAGATCGATCGGGTAATATTAAATTATGGAGAACATCGTCTGAACGTTTAAGGCGCTAGTGTTGACAACTTACGGGCGAACAGATGTTTCTCTAATAATCAATTTTTCCATATTAAAGACTAACAAAATCTGGATTCTGACCACACAAAGTGGTAGAGGAGGCATTTTACTATATATACTGAACACTATTTATCCACTTTTTCGTTATCCACAACATTTATAAGTATCTCATTCGCACAATATTTACATTTTTTGGTTTGTTTAATAGTTTTATTTGAAAATATTAATGTAATTATGCACGGAATAATAAACTGTCTTCCCCCTTTCGTGGACGGCCACAGTTTACGTGGACAGCTGGTGTCTCACGCAATACATTAGAATGACCCATTGTTACCTTGCATGTACGAAATACTGTGGCAGAATAAGAGGGTATTATAAATGCTGCTCAAACGTTTAACTATCTCAACTTGGAAAATGTTTGGGAATCAGAATCTATAACTGTTGGGTATCATACATTTTAAACGTACTGTAAGTCGTACATGAATCGTAGGAACGGAGGTGTCAAGAGCCTTCGCACTGAAGGCACATGCTCGCATGTGGAAGTAATTATATACTGTTTGTGAAGTACAAGATAACAGCCGCAAATCGTTTGTACCGTAGTAACACAAAACCTTTTGAGTTGCAGACTTAAATCTCCAATCTGTAATCATTACATTCATAATGAAGGAGAATATGATGATTGGTCATTTTGTAATTGCATTATATAAAACAAAAATATGGATTAAGTAACTTGGGCATCATTTATATGTATTTAAGTATTTTCATTTTCAATGTAAATAATTGCAATTTAAATTATACATAACCAGTTTCATTTATTACATCGGTGTGGGATTATCTTGGGTGAGAAATATTTAATGAGGTAAATAAAAATGTACGAGAGGAGACAGTATATAGTAAGGTACTAGAAAGGAGTATACATGGAATGAGGTAAGAATTGTTGTACATTTGGGTTAAACAAATTCATTCTAATGTTAAATGATATGTAAACATTCTTTGTCAAACAAAACAACTCGCGAAGGAATGTTCCACACATTGCACCACTAGATTAATCTGGACCGCAGGAGAGGAAGTGAAAACCGCCGAGTCATCGCAACGCGTATATACCCCAGGCGAGCCTCCGAACGTCAGTTAGCGACCGGACGGTACACAGCACAGAGCACAGCACAGCGCGGCCACTTTCAGCGACATGACTGCCAAGCCCAAGCTCACGTATTTCAACTTCAGAGGGGCCGCGGAGCCAATTCGTTATGTGCTGGAGTACTCGAACGTGGAGTACGAAGACAAACGCATTCAGCTGGAGGATTGGCCCAAATTAAAGCCTAGTGAGTATGATTCTTGGTCTAGTCAACGCTTTGTGTTTACATTGCTCTCTAGTATAGGCAGGAGGTGTAACACGTTATATTGCAACTTTATTTAAATGTGTGATCAGAAATACCAGATAAAATAATGTGTTCTATTAATAGTATTTGTTTCACTAGAAAATCATTTCTTGAAAATGTTCTAAGAGCGTGATGTCATGTTTCCATTGATTTGTTTCAAGTATGAATCTTTATGAATCGTGTATTCACTTAGAGCACACTTTTTAATTAAAACAATTTCTTTTTAACAATACTGGAGCATTTGCATAATTAGAATCTTTGAAAGAAAATTTGTATAAAAGATAGAGCGACTGATTTAAAAAAATATTAAAACGATATATTATTTATTTTAGTGCATTCAACCAAGAAAAAGCAATTCGTTGTGTTCTTTGACTATTCTTAAATATTTTTTTCACAGCTATTCCTTTTGGGCTGGTGCCTATCCTTGAGATCAATGGGAAGGTGATCAATCAGTCCACAGCCATCTGCCGTTATTATGCGAAAAAGGCTGGTTTAGCTGGAAGTGATGATTTCGAAGCTTTGCAGATTGACGCTATTGCAGACACCGTTGTGGATTTGAGAAACGGTGAGTGATAGTCGATTCAAAGAATGTTAAAGTGATGCTAGGTACTATTGTAATGAATTATAAAGGGAGAAGCGAAATTGAAGAGATTATTTTTGAATCATCCTTTAAAAATATTACCAATTCTGAATTGAAATTGTCTTTCATCTGTCAATGAAAAAATGTTTCTCGAAACAGATAAATTTAACGGATTAATATTCAAATATTAATATTGTGCGTTGACTTGTGTGTGGACGCACGTACACTTGCAAGCATTGCAGCTCGTTAAACCTATGAGAGAATTTCAAAACTCGCGGAGCTATTAATTTACCGTTTCAAATTTCCGAAAAGATTATATTTGAATTCCCATGAAAGTCACGTTCTCTACGCCAATTCAATGAAATAAGTATGTTATAGTTTTGAAATCACAGGATAACTTGCAAGTGGAAATTAACTTTTATATCGATAAAACAGCTTTGAGAAATTTGAACTATTTTGTCTCACAATTACACTTCGTAAAGGCATTCTTAAGTGTTTTATGTGACTACATATTCCAAATACATTGTTCTGCAATTATTGCGCTCTTCGTGTGTTTTAGTATTTGCTCAGTACAATTGGCGCACACCAGAAGCTGAGAAGCCCGCTAAGGCAGATGTTCTCAAGAAAGAGAACATTCCCACTTACCTCTCACAGTTCGAGAAAATTTTGAAGGAAAACAACGGTTATTTTGTCAACGGAAAGGTACGGTTTGATTGTGATTTTTTATCAACACTTATCATTGATTGTGAACATATTGCGATTCTAAGCGTCAGCCCGACCTTTTTTCATTTAATTAATTTAAAAATATTCATTTACGAGTACCAACTTGCGGGTAATGCCACTATGATGGTTTGCTCTATTAATGTTTCTTACAACTGATCTCAGAGATGCTTCATTTATGTGAGCAGGGAAAATCATCGCTTACGAGAACTCGACTGAGAAATTACTATATTAGGGAGAATCTATGGATATCACTACAGCCAATAAAAATACTCCATTCAAATTAAGTCAAATGAAATAAATTGAGTCGCATGGCAACAATGGCATCGTTATATATTATTAGTTAATATTTGCCAGACCTTCTGTTTTGACAAAACACACTGGATCCACTAAATGCCAATAAAAAATAATACTCTTTCTTAAAACTAATATTTATTATAAATACCATGAAACATATTCACACAAAAAAAAAAAAAAAAACAATATGCATTTTACTAGAAAATTTTCAGATATCTATTCATTGTTATTTACGCATGCAGAATGAATGGTCACTATTAATTACTTTACATTCTGATCGTATTATATCAATGTTGAGCGTTGAGCATTTTAAAAATAAATATTCGAAGTTGATGACATCCCTCTTGTCAAATTTCTGCAGTCTCGGACGATGCGAATTCCTTGTCTCCAGTACCATTTTTCATACGCTCACCAAAATACTTCGTTTTTCCTCCGCATACCTACTCTCACACACGTTACCGAAATTTACGAATATCAGATTTCAAATATTTGTTTTCTAGTATTCTAGGCTTTTAACTTTATCGTTTTCCCACATATTAACAATTGTAACTAATTCTGAAAAACTAAATATCCTTCAAAAATTCTAATTCGGACCGGGCCTTACTACGGCAACCCCTCTTACCCTATCGAGTTCTTCTTTTTCTAAACAATGCCACACGTGTATTCGTGCACTATTACCTATGCCACCCAGATCTACCACAAATGCGTTTTTCTTCGTTGCTTTTGAGCCACTGATCACTTGATGTTCTGAATTCTGCTGTATCATTTGCTAATTTCGCTTTGTC